ATTTCCTGAATAAATCCTGTAGACACAATTAAGATACCATGTGAAGCCTGTAGACTGCTTCAAGGTATGATGTGAAGCCTGTAGACTCTCTCAAGGTGCGATGTGAAGCCTGTAATCTACCTCGAGGCTTCATTTCCTTTAATTTGTGGACAGTTTGTGTCCCAGATTAGGTCACTGCTCTTTTGAAGTTTTTTTTCACAGAGAACTAAATTGTTACAAAAACTATTGCAGAACTGATTGTTGCAAAAAAATTTGCTTGCAGCCTAACCTTGTGGAAAAACTTTCCATTTTGAAGAAGTGTCTTCTTGTCATTTTCTCATTTGTTTCTGGTGATGACACATGGTCACTCTTCTAAGAAACAGCTCAGATTGCATAAGTCTTTTGAAAAGTCACCCCTGCCAGTATGTGTAACGCAAAGTTTACTCGAAGCATCTGGCTTTGACTAGCAGTGCTTACAGAACAAACACACCAATTCTTTATACTGTACATTAGCCTATTCCTGGATACCAGGGGATGAAAAAAATAATCATAATCCGATCTGAAAAATGATCAGTAAACTTTCCAAATCCTGTGCTGATTACCAGCACGCCGTCCAAGTGGCTTTTAAGCTTAGGAGATGTGTTTGCTTTTCACTTACAAATCCTTTCACCTCCATTCACTGTACTGTGACCTTTTTTGTGTGGCTGGCAGGAGGAAGTTTTAATTAATGCAGACTATGAGGTAAATACCCATTTTATCTGTTTGTAAATGCAGAAGCGGGGTTATCATGTTAAAACCGCCCCAGTGATAACATAATGATGCTGACTCTTTTCTTCTCAAACATGCAGCACCTTTTTAACACTAGGAAGCGCAGTGCATTAGCAGTCCACAGTCCACAGCTGACTAAGCTTTTTATCCTTTGTTGCACTGTTTTTGCACTTTACGACAGATATTCTAATAACAATAAAATGTCAGATATTTTAGCATGATACAGTCATGATTTCCCCTGCATTTCTGTCAGATAATGCACCACTTTGTGGAGAAAATTGTTGCAATTACAAATGTTTAGGCATTCTCATGTTTATTTCTTTTGTTTGTATTGGTATGACACAGAAAAATTGAGAATAAAAGCCAACCCTGACACATTCCACGCAAAACTCTAAAAATGGGTTTGAAACGCGTAACGGTCACTTGACACCTTTGGCAAATAACCCAGATTTTCCCCCGGGATCCACGCTGGGCTTCCTGGATGCATGACCCGCCGTCCATGTCCCTGACTGCACAATTGTTCTTTAGACATAAACGTTTTCTCAACAAAGAAGACCTGACTCCTTCCTCCAAACATGGTCGGGTACCCTGTTGGACTTAACTTCAAGTGAAACACTGCCTCAATGCCCCGGCAAAACAGGGTAGCTTTGTGAGAGATCTGACTCCCTTTGAGAGAGCGTGTGCTGGTAGAAGTCCCTCTCGTCACCTTTTATAACCTTACACGAGACACTAAACCCGATCGTGCGGAAGCTTTGAGGATTGCTTGGGAGAAGGAGCTAGGTCATGTTCCGGAAGACTTATGGGACTAGTCTGTTCAGAGTCACAGAAAAGTTCGATATGTAGCAGGACCCAGGAAACTAACTTTAAAATCCTCTCTTGTTGGTATGGAACCCCCACGCTTGTTCAAAAAATTTACCCTAAGGTACCGGAGAGCTGTTGGAGATGTAATTCTGACAAGAGGACGATGCTCCACATCTTTTGGTCGTGCACCCTTCTCCAGCCCTTCTGGAGACGGATCCACAAACTTGTTTGCCACTGGTCAACAGCTGGATTTTTTCCCTGGTGTTTACCTACTGCATCTCCGCACTGACTGTTATGGGGAGCCATGGAAATCTCTTAGTAAACACCTGATCCACGCAGCCAGGACGCTGATACCCAGACTATGGAGAGAAGTCAGGGTCCACTCCCTTACCGAATGGGTCAATCAGGTGAATTACATTTATGAAATGGAGGAACTCTTTTTACACTAAGCAAGACAATCTGACCACATTCTCCAGAATGTGGGCCCCATGGAACCATTTTTGTAGTGGTGAGGCCTACGCGAAACTCCAAAGGAGTTTGCAGTAATTACCTGACTACGACTTCGCAACCTGCTATGATTTTTGAGGGGGGGGGGGCAAGGAGCACTCCACGGGAACGCACCCACGCAACAACACCGGATGTTTTTCCCTAACATGCCTTCCTCCCTGATCGATCCTTATATCTCCTACCCTCCTACCTCCCTGAGAGGAGGGATTCTACTCCTTCCAGTGTCTGTCTTCCCTGTCTTTATCCTTATGTACTTCCTGTATATCTTATGTTGTCCACTATGTTGTCTTCTGGTTTTCACTTTCTGGGTTGTTGAAACATACTAACATACTGTATATCTGATATACTTAGACATGGGCACCCCCCCTTTTTTTTTTTTAATCTAGCAGATTTACTAGCCAACGGGCCCGCTTTGCCGCTAGGAAGAAGCCCATCTTCCTCCATTGATGTTCAACACGTTATACATTATTGTGCTGCTTCCCTGTATTTTGTTTTCTTTTTCCTAATTGAGAAACGTCATGTGTTCTCTGTAATTGGATTGTGAAGTGGCACTCTATGCTGTCCTGTTGTTCTACCGTTTACATTATTTGTGTATGTCAGTTTTATAATTTCCAATAAAATAAAAAATTTAAATGGAAAAAAAAAAGCACAATGACTAACAATATTCATAGTTTATAACTGCATGCATCCAGAGACTATTTGAACTGACTTTTACTGTGGCACATATGTTTATGCTTGGTTTTTTTACTGTGTCCCTCCCCATATCTAAAATGTTAAATAAAGAATTAAAAAAAAAGAAAAGAGTATCTCAAAGGGATTACTGTACTTTTGCCAGAGGCTGTTTTATTCCAGTGACCGTGGGAGGTGGCAACATGCTTTTAAAATGTTTTTCTGGTGCCTTTCATGGCAGCATACAAACGATAAGCTCCGCCCCTTATCCCCACCAGTAACAAGCTATAAAAAAGAGAGATAGAGACTCCCCCTGCATTCTTGTAACCATGCGTCGACGAACAGGGTGGGTAGTATGCTGCCATGGACAGGCACCAGGAAAGGAAAATTACTGGTAAGTATGATACAAGTATGATACAATTTTCAGTTTTCCTGGTACCTTTCATGGCAGCATACAAACGATAAGCTCCGCCCTTATCCCCACCCACACTGGGCCTGGCTCTTGTCTTTTACTGTCACGTATTTCTGGAGTTTTTCCTGCTCATGTGTGCAGCCTTCCCTGTAAATGCCTAGTTGCTTCCTTCCTTCGGCTGAGCCGTTCACCACGATTGCAAGAACCGCCATCCGCTTTAAGGTAAAAAATTGATTTTTGGCTGCTATGTGGGCGGCCACCGGATGTGGTGTGGGCTCATTCAACGTGAGCTGTGGCAACCTCATGGGCTTTGCGGGCCAGGGTTCAGATCGAACCTATTGCATTGGGCATTACGGGCTTTCCCCAGGCCTTCTGCCAACAGTGGGCTCTGGGAGACAGTCTGTCCAGGCATCTTTTGCTGGATGGAGTGTCTTCTTTGGCGTCGCTTTTGCCCACCCTGTCAGCTTGTTATTTATCGTTTGTATGTTGCAATGAAAGGCACCAGGAAAACTGAAAATTGTATCATAGAGCCTCGAAACACGTAGCCAAACCATCCAGCTAATACCTTTATCACTCAGCCAGACGTGCCACACTATCCTCCAGCCTTGTGCCCGCCCCTGAACGTTTTTTCATAACGACCGCTGACCCATTGTTACACCGCTACACAGCGGCACTCCTGCTCCCGTTCAGCCGACGAGTGGCAGCCTGGCCAGCTGAGCTCTCACTGTACCTGACGGGGATTGGATCATTAACGCACAGTCTATCTTTCCATAACGTGCCCTTCAGTTGCACTCATCATCCCCCAGTACCAAGGGACCAAACAGGAGCCGTGAAATCCGTGATTACACCCACACGGACCAGCCGCATATGCCTCCTTGCGATCCATGCTGATGACAGCTCTCACTCTTCATCGGCAAGACACCACCTCGTCCATCTAAAAGTGAGTTTGCATCCATAGATATCATCTAATTAGAGATTTTAAACTGTTTAAAGATTTTAAATTGTTGAACAACAAGAATCCTAGGATTGTAGCGCTCCTTTTTTGTCTTTCTATAACGAGCTTTCCCCAGGCCTTCTGCCAGCAGTGGACTCTGGGAGACGGTCTGTCCAGGCGTCTTTTGCTGGATGGAGTGCGTCTTTTGCTGGATGGAGTGTCTTCTTTGGCGTTGCTTTTGCCCACCCTGTCAGCTTGTTATTTATCGTTTATATGCTGCCATGAAAGGCACCAGGAAAACGGAAAATTGTATCATACTTACCAGTAATTTTCCTTTCCTGGTGCCAGTCCATGGCAGCATACTACCCACCCTGTTTGTCGACGCATGGTTACAAGAATGCAGGGGGAGTCTCTCTCTCTTTTTTATAGATTGTTACTGGTCCTGTGGGTGGGGATTAGGGGCGGAGCTTATCGTTTGTATGCTGCCATGGACAGGCACCAGGAAAGGAATATTACTGGTAAGTATGATACCATTTTCCATTTTATTGCAGCTTGAGCGTAGTCCATCTCTTAAAGTGTATGTAAAAACATTATTTTTTTGTTTTGTCACCTAGACAGAAAGTTGTCTTTACAGCAATAAGTGGTTAAAAAATCCTCCAATGGGGACACCTGTTCCTGTGACAACTCTAAGAATGGAATTCCGTTCATTTTGAAGAGATTTCCTCTCATTTTCTGTTGTATCTACATGACAGGAAGTGAAGGTGAATCTGTTGAGCTGAACACAGACAGCAAAAAATAACTTGATAAAGCTTTTACCCTTCCCATCTCTATCAAAAACCAAAAATTTGCTTTACAGAATATATTTACATACACTTACTTTGCCCAGGTTAATTCATTATGTTGTAATATTCCCTTGAATTGTGCTTACAGACGGAATAACCCAGGAGATCGTGAAAAAGCTCTTCATGTGATGCTTCAGGTGCTACAAGCCTGTGATCATCCAGCCCCTGACATGTTCTGTCTGTGTGGACGGATATACAAGGACATGTTTTTGGATTCTGACTGTAAAGATATGAAGAGCAGAGGCAGTGCCTTAGAATGGTAAGAGAATTTTTGTTTAACATTCTGTAAAAGATTTTTGTATTTGTGCAGTTGGTGGAGAGTATTATGTCATTGATATTCACTGTCCACTATAAAACCTATAAACATAACTTTTATTGACATGTTAATTACTGAGCTATTACTCCCTCATAGAACAAGGGCAAGGCTCTATATTTTTCAATATTTTCTGTGAACTTCAAAGTGTAGGCAAGTGTTTGCTTTTTGAATGAGCATATTAGACACATAGAAAGCACACAGGTTTTTAATGGCAGGCATGGATGGCTGGGTTAAACACTAGTCTTTCCAAATTCATGAAAATCTTAATTTCATCTATTGAGAGACACAGAAAGTCTTAACCCTTCGGTCTCTACTGGAGGATTGGACACTGCACGCAAAAAACCTGTAGGGCAGCCCTAAGATAACCCCTCCTAAAGCTGGCCATACACCTTACAATTTATCTGCAGATTTTCTGTGGTCAGATGGAAAAGGTGCAACAGATTCCTCCAGCTACACTTAACTGTGTGGATGGAGTAATCTCCACCTGGGACAATATGTTGCACTTTTTCCATCTGACCACAGAAAATCTGCAGATAAATTGTAAGGTGTATGGGCACCTTAATACCAGCATACCACAGTTTTTTTCTAGTGTCTTATGAGGGTGGATGTCCCTTCTCAGCTGCACTGATTTAAGACAACCTCCTTTTTGTAGCAACTTTTTTCCCCTACTGCTATCACCTCGACTAGACAAGTATCTGAACTGGCAGTTTTATCTTGCAAGGCACTCTTATGGTCTTAAGCATTGGGTTCCCTCTTTCCATCAAAGCTTACAAGACAATTCCCAGTGTGCATTGCTTTGGCAAACTGAAGTCATTTTGCCCTTTCAAAGCAGGAAGTGAACGCTCCGCAAGTGTAAGGATTTCAAAATCTCAGCATTCTACACCGGATATGTCTGTTATTATTAATCATCATATATAGAGGGATGCATCGGTAGAATTTGATTTTTGAGTGTAAAGGTCTGCTTTAACAGGAGCCTGTATTTGATTATTAATTTTGCAACATGAAATAAACACCATGACACGTTGCAAAAATGTTGTAAAGTAAATTGTTTGCCTGCAATTTACAATGTACCAAATACTAGAGACCTGCACGGTATCAGGGAGCTGACACATTTTAATGCACTTTATGGGCACACTGGGGCCTTTCCTAAAGCAGGTTACAAAGAAAACATTGATCACAAGGCTGTCTGGTGATAGTGGAATACTCATCATACAGGTGAAACTCAAATAATTAGAATATCGTGCAAAGTTCATTTATTTCACTAATGCAACTTAAAAGGTGAAACTAATATATGAGATAGACTCATTACATGCAAAGCAAGATAATTCAAGCTGTGATTTGTCATAATTGTGATGATTATGGCTTACAGCTCATGAAAACCCCAAGAACCCCAAATCCACAACCTCAAAAAAGTAGATTATTACATGCAATCAATAAAACAAGGATTGTACATAGAACAATATCGGACCTCTGAAAAGTACAAGCATGCATATGTACTCAGTACTTGGTTTGGGCCCCTTTTGCAGCACTTACTGCAATTACTTTTGCACAATATTCTAATTATTCAAGTTTCACCTGTATACTGTATAATGCTTTTTGCCAGGGGTTATTTTATTTTAAAAGCAACCAATGCATGTACCCGGATTTTAATTGGTATCAGACACTTGTATCCCTCAGTTGTAAAAGCAGCACTATGAGCCAATAATGTATTCTGAATTCACATGGGCTGTAAAAAAAAAACAAGAGGATAGAGCAGAGTTCATCAGCCTGCTTCTGCTCCTTCACTGTCAAATCATGAGGGAGCAGAGAAGCGACCCAGTTGTATTGCTCCATCTGTCGTAGAGAAAAAGTCAGGTCATTACCTTGGCTGTGCTGTCTGGCAGGTCTGTGAAAATTACAGGACTATATGGAGAGAAATACAACACAATTCTTGTGCCAGGTAAAACAGCTCCTTAGGCCTTCAGGCGCTCTGTGCGGGAAAGCTTTCCAGCACCCCTCAATGACCACACCTCTCAATGACCACGCCCCTCAGTAACCACACCCATTTTCCCAATATCCGCACCATTTAAAGACTCCCATTTTGTTAAGTCCCAAAGAATCAAATTAAAAAGTATGATAAAAATAAAACTTTTATTCCAAGGTATTAAAATTGTAGGCACAATATAAGTATTCTTATTAAATAAAACAACAGAAGGCAAACAAGTGGTAAACAATAAATGTCAAACTAAAATAGAGTCTATAAAAATAAAGTGTCAGGTCTAGAAAGCTTAAAATAAAAAACAGAACACAAAACTCAGACTACATGTAAATTAATGAATTACATGAATTAATGAACACCCCAAAGGCCGGCCCTGCCCATATATGTATTTTATTTGTGTATTTAACTGTTTGCATTGAATTCAGCTTTAAACTTTTCTTTTATCACAGTTAGTGCATGGGAGAGGGTACAGTTGCAGATTTATTTTTTGTACCTTAAACCCTGGAAAGCCTCTACCACACACAATAGTGTCCTAACATTTGATAGCTGTAATTTTAAAAGACTTAAAAAAACATTCTGGTGCATTGGGAACAAACAATCAAAGAATGAAACCCCTCAGAGTCAGATGAGAGATAATCTGCCATTGTAAACCACTGCAGACAAAGCTCCATTTTCCTCCATCGTTAGAGGACAAATAAACATGGGGTTTCCTTCACAAATGCTGTTCTTATCATAGGATAGGCACTGTGAAAAGCAGGTAAAACAGAACCTTTTAAAAAAAAAGGTCTAGGTGCCTATGGGCATTAAACAGAAGCTGGTGTTGCATGCGCCATCTAGCTGCCCAGTATTCTTTCAATGAAAAATCATTCTACAAATACTGGACCAACTTTTATGTTTGTGCATATGAAGGATGGAGTACCACAGACATCAACTGTCTCAGGGGAAAGAATAGCAATTCCTGGGAAAACCCTTGTATTCATTTTTTTCCCCCAGCAGGGTCACCTAGGAAGCATCGGAAAGGGTTATGGAGGTGCCTGCAAATATACAAATGTTCTTTGATTCAGTACAAGGGACAGAACAGTCTCCAGCAGCTGTCCATCTACTAGCCTGGAGGAAGAAGAAGGAGGGAGGAAAAAGGAGTGAAGAGCAGGGAGCAGGAGAGTGTATCGGTGAATCATTGGTTGCAGGGTGCTGTAAAGGAAAGCTGAGGAGGGTCTGGTCAGGTCTGGGGAGTCATGTAAGCATCCATGCCGGGTTTTCCTAAATGGCTTTAGAGTGACCTCTATGGATATAGTTTAGGCTGTCTTGGTGTAGAATAGAGTTTACCTTTTTTTTTAATACACTGGTATGATATAGGAGAGGATAACCAGTTTTGTTTTTTGTTTTCTTCCTGGCCAAGTACAGGTTTCTGGCCACTGCTATTTCAAGATGAGCGTCATCATATGGGAGTTTCAAAATGCCAATGAGACCCATTTTTGGCTCAGGAGCCTCACAAACCGGGGAAACAGAGATCTTAAGCTGAAAACCGAAAGCAGCACTTACAGCCCTAGTGACCCCCCACACACGTATTTTTAGACATGTGCAAAGACTAAAAATGAATTTCAGATGAATTGAACGAAAACTAAAAACGTTTTCATTCCTTTCTAACTAATTTTTATGCTATTTTGGATTTAGCCATTGGCGTGTTCTGGAGGCAGGGCGCATGCCGTCATATAACACCGCACGTGTTGGGCGCCGCCATCTTGGTGTATATCTAGGTATACACCAAGATGGCGGCGCCTATATCAGCGTGTGACGTCACCTGACGCCACGCATGCATGGCATCATGTGACGTCATGCTCCCTGCCTCCAAGATGGTGGCACACATACGTAAAACGCACTGGTGGCTAACATGGCCGCCGCACATTCTAAAACAAATTGTTATGTGCTTGAATACATTTTTCGTATATTCGGGCAAATAGTAATTCATTAATTTACATGTAGTCTGGGTTTTGTGTTCTGTTTTTTATTTTAAGCTTTCTAGACCTGACACTTTATTTTTATAGACTCTATTTTAGTTTGACATTTATTGTTTACCACTTGTTTGCCTTCTGTTGTTTTATTTAATAAGAATACTTATATTGTGCCTACAATTTTAATACCTTGGAATAAAAGTTTTATTTTTATCGTACTTTTTAATTTGATTCTTTGGGACTTAACAAAATGGGAGTCTTTAAATGGTGCGGATATTGGGAAAATGGGTGTGGTTACTGAGGGGCGTGGTCATTGAGAGGTGTGGTCATTGAGGGGTGCTGGAAAGCTTTCCCGCACAGAGCGCCTGAAGGCCTAAGGAGCTGTTTTACCTGGCACAAGAATTGTGTTGTATTTCTCTCCATATAGTCCTGTAATTTTCACAGACCTGCCAGACAGCACAGCCAAGGTAATGACCTGACTTTTTCTCTACGACAGATGGAGCAATACAACTGGGTCGCTTCTCTGCTCCCTCATGATTTGACAGTGAAGGAGCAGAAGCAGGCTGATGAACTCTGCTCTATCCTCTTGTTTTTTTTTTACAGCCCATGTGGATTCAGCATACATTATTGGCTCATAGTGCTGCTTTTACAACTGAGGGATACAAGTGTCTGATAACAATTAAAATCCAGGTACATGCATTGGTTGCTTTTAAAATAAAATACCCCCTGGCAAAAAGCATTATACAGTATATGATGAGTATTCCACTATCACCAGACAGCCTTGTGATCAATGTTTTCTTTGTAACCTGCTTTAGGAAAGGCCCCAGTGTGCCCATAAAGTGCATTAAAATTTGTCAGCTCCCTGATACCGTGCAGGTCTCTAGTATTTGGTACATTGTAAATTGCAGGCAAACAATTTACTTTACAACATTTTTGCAACGTGTCATGGTGTTTATTTCATGTTGCAAAATTAATAATCAAATACAGGCTCCTGTTAAAGCAGACCTTTTAGGCCTCATTCACACACAACGCAAGCAAAATTGTACATTGCGTATATACGTGCGTGTACGCGCATATTTACGAGCATATATGCGTACATGCGTGCACTATATGCAATCCCAGAATGCATCACTCGTACGCATGTACGCACGTTTACGCAGAAATACGCTGCCCGGACGCATCTCTGTTCCATTCTGTTTTTGCGCATATATACGCTACGCAAATATACGGCTCTATACGCGGCTGTGTGTATGGAGCCATTTATTTGCATAGGTTGCATATGGTACAATACGCATGTACGCGCCTATACTTGCGCATACGTGCAACAGTGTAAATGAGGCCTTACACTCAAAAATCTAATTCTACCGATGCATCCCTCTATATATGATGATTAATAATAACAGACATATCCGGTGTAGAATGCTGAGATTTTGAAATCCTTACACTTGCGGAGCGTTCACTTCCTGCTTTGAAAGGGCAAAATGACTTGAGTTTGCCAAAGCAATGCACACTGGGATTGTCTTATCAGCAGAGCACTGCCGGGAAATCTCATCTGTAATCTTACGAGAACTCAGGGAAAGGCATTTTCCTTCCCTGAGATGATGTGCATGGTCACATGTCCTAGTCACATGTGCCAGATTTTCAGGAGAATAAAGTAAAGGGAGAGCTAGTAATCTGCCCTTAGCACACATGGCCACTGCCAGAAGACTGGGAAAGAAAAGAGAAATAAGGTATGCAAAGAATACAAAGCCTGCAATTATCTAGAAGTATGCGTTTGTAGATTGTCATTACTAAACACTTCTAAAGGTGTGTTTGTTGTTATTTTAAAGATATGGATAAAAGGTCCACTTTCAGATAAAACTACTGAATAAGAACATTATTTCTACCAGGTATCGCAAAGGTTTTGAACTCCAGCCATCCTTGTATTCTGGAATTAATCTCGCTGTTTTACTTATTGTTGCCGGGCAGCAGTTTGAAACATCTATAGAACTACGGAAAATAGGTAAATATTGGACTTATTAAAACATTTGTGCTGTTGATGCTAATGCGTGTGAAGGAAGAATGGCTGCTTACCTCCGCTGTGACAATGTTTATAAGGAATACTGCTTAAATATGCTACACCTACAAAATACATACAGTGCATTTACACACAGAAGGGATCTTTTTTTTCCTTCCGGTATCTGTGTCAGCTGAATTGACTTTTTCAGTTTTGTTGCTTGAAAGTTGTTTTACCAGTTCTAGGAAATAAAAATAACATGATTCAAAGCAACCATATATTTCCTCTTTTGAAAGGAAAACAAATAATCTCGGGTACCATTTTTACATGTTTTAAGTTTTTTTAAACTGATATTTTAGATGTATTTTTACTATATGCTTTATATTTACAATTTACCAAATCCATGAGCGGAGGGAGACTTACCGGCTCCCTCCGCTCTCTCTTCTCATCCTTCTGGAGGCACCCATGGTCAAAATCGGAGACCAGAAGTACGTCTCTGTGGCTGAGAAGTTGGCAAGGTTCCAAAGGCCGCAAGATGGCGGTGGACATCCACGAACCGGACAGATTCGGCCCACACATCCTCAAGTAAGGGGGTTTCACAGGGGAGGTCCGCAGAGGGGAAATCCTCGCAGCTCCCCATGGATGCCTGCAAAAACGGCCATTCTGCACAGCCCTCCCCCAGGGCCCCTGCTGTGAGGGGGGAGGGGGACAATATGCCTGTAGAATCACAAACTCCTGCTGAACCTACTCTTATGCAACTAATGGAGGCTATCCATGACTGAAAAACATCCCTGGCATCACAGATTGAAGAGTCCATGTAGATCTCTCCCTGCCGAAGCATGATGTGCAGGGCCTATGTGACAGGGTCACTGAAACGGAGGGCCGCATTACTACCCTGGAGGATACTGTGGCTCCGTTGTCCAGATATACCATTGGCCTAAAGAGGGAGTTGCAGCCTGTAAGGTCAAGATGGATGACTTGGAAAACCGCTCCAAGTGAAATAATCTCCACTTTGTTGGATTCCCTGAGAGGTCAGAAGGCCCACACCCTGAGATTTTTCTCCAAGATTGGCTGAGGGAGATGTTAAGTGATTTCACCCCCTCCTCTCCTGCCTTTGTTGAGCGGGCACATCGCACACCACCCTTCATGCCTCCCCCTGGCTTAGCACCCAGGCCTCTTATTGCCAGAATCCTCAACTTCAGGGATAGGGTGGAGATTCTTTGTGCATCTCGTCTTAAAGGGGAGCTCTCCTATAATGAAAACCGTGTCTTTTATTTCTCCTGATTTCTCTGCTGAATTACAACGTCAGAGGTCCTCCTTTTCTGGAGGTCAAAAAGCGGCTACGCCAGGAAGGGGTCGCTTATGTCATGCTTTATCCTGCTAAGCTCAAGGTGACGAAAGATGGGAAAGTGCAGCTCTTTTCCTCACCCACTGAAGCCTCAGAGTGTTTAGATATCAAGGGTCTCCCTCAACGGAGACGCCGCCGCAATGAAGACCACTAATCTACCTTTTGGAGTAATCCTTTCTCCTTCAGAACTGTCTGCATATTCGTGGACATTTGTTGAGTACCATTTCTGCATGAACATTGTTGCTTTCAGTGTTCTCCACTTTCATTAGACCCTCGATCCTGGTTACGTTTTATACTTCTGGATACTGTGCCGTAATGCTGTACTTGTACTAATCCTTCGGTTGTTGTTACTGTCCGAGAGCTGATGCCATATTGCACAACACTTCCCCTCTACTGGGGGACCATCACCGTGATATACCGCAGCAGCTTGGAACTCGGATATGCTCGGATTGGGTCCTGCTCGGAGTGGCTACACCCCCTGCCTACTGGGCATTGTTCTTGCACTAGGGTGTTAAGGGTTTTTTTGTTAAGGAATCTGTGCTTGTTAGAGTTGGGTTAACAAGCGGGGTGGGATGGGAAAGGTAGTTCTTGGTGAGTTGATTGTTGTTTTTTACTGTTTATATGCTTTACCTATCTGCAGATTACAATGGTTTACGAGGTCTCACTCCTTGATTTGATTACTCAGGTTCACTTTCTGGTACCTTTAATACTTTGCTTGTCTTCTGATGTCATATAAATGTATCTCGTGGAATGTTTCATGGCTTGAATTCCAGCCACAAGCGTTCCCTAGTGTTCAATTTCCTCTATAAATACAAGCCACATGTATGTCTGCAAGAAACCCACCTGTTGGGTTCTAAGATTTTAGCTCTGAAGAAACACTGGGTAGCCAAATCCTTTAATGCTGTATACTCATCATATTCCCGAGGGGTGTCTATCTTACTAGCTAAATCACTTAATGCTGACATTCTTCAGGTAAAGACTGACATTCTGGGTAGATCTGTTATCATACATCTGACTAGATGGCACTCCCCTGACGCTGGCCTCAGTTTATCTCCCTCCCCCCTGGGGATAGACCTTTTACATACCATCACTCAAGCAGCCTTAGCTATGCCTACAGCCCCCTTACTGATTATGGGTGACTTTAATTTGGCCCCTAATCCACTACTTGGCATGGGGGGTGGGGGATGGCTCAATACAAATTTATCTGACTGGATTCAGGGATTTGGGCTTCTTGATGTGTGGTGTTGGAAATGGCCGGACTCTAGGGCCTACTCATGCCATTCTGCTACGCATAAGACTCTCTCTAGGATTGACTTGGCCTTTGTTACCCCTGCAGTTCTTCCGTGGCTTTCAGGGGTGTGCTATCTCCCAAGAGGGATCTCAGACCATGCTCCCTTGTTAGTGGAGTTCAGTTGGGGACATTCCTTCTCTTCCAGAGTGTGGAGAATAAACTCCCTCTGGCTCTCCGATCCCTCCGTGGCGACCGCTTGTTCACAGGCTATTAGCCACTACTGGAGTGACAATGCCCCTTTGACTTCCTCCTCCCTTAAATGGGAAGCCTTTAAGCCCACCTTCAGAGGGGCATTCATGGCCGCCACTGGGGCAGTTTGCAGACTTAAAGGGGAGGTTGTGCTGGCCTTGGAGCGTAATATGAGAGAGGCCGAGGCCGCATATGTGTTGGACCCCATTGCCTCAACTTACAGCGATTGGGAGGGGAAAGAAGCGTAAATATGAACTGTTCCTGTTGGAGCATACCAAAAAAATGTTACATACTCAGCAAAAAATATTGGTAATATTGGTAAGTTTGGTAACAAGGCGGGCAGATTACTGGCATACTTTACGAAACCTGAATTTAACCCTACATCCATTCCACGCATCGTTTCTAACTTTCTTTCTCAAGGACTATTGTCACTACCTCCCAAGATATAATGGACAAGTTCCTGTCCTTCTATAGAGACCTATACTCCTCCAGGGCTCAATACGCTGCCGCGGAGCTGGAGGACTATGTGTCTCAAATCTCCCTACCATGCCTGTCCACTCAGGCTAGCGAGGAATTGGAGTTGGCAATTGCCCAGTTCCCCACCAGAAAGACCCCGTGCCTTGATGGGTTCTACGTAGAATCGTATGCCTCTTATTGGGAGGAATTGGGACCACATTCTGGCAATACGCATTAATAAACATGTCCTGTCCCTCACTGGTAGCGACCAGGCAGGTTTTATGCCAGGCCGCTCCACTAGAATGAACATCCGCAGACTTTTCACCAACCTTCAATACTCTCATCCCACAACTGAGGGTAGGGCTTTGATCTCACTTGATACCCAAAAAGCTTTTGACAGTGTTGAGTGGCCTAAATGTCCTGAAAGCATATGGGTTTGGCCCCCAAATGATCCGATGGATTGAGATTTTATATAACACCCCAGTAGCCAGGTTGCGCATCAACAGAGAGGTGTCTGACCCGTTTAATATTTTTAGAGGGACTCAACAGGGCTGTCCTCTCTCCCCTATCCTCTTTGCCCTGGCCCTTGAGCCTCTGGCGATTTAGGATAAGGGAGTCTGACTCCCTACATGGCTTACGGATACGAGACCTGGAGGAACGAATCTCTTTATATGCTGATGATACGCTGATTTATCTATCTGATCCGAATGGCTCCCCATTTCATCTCCTTCAGCTACTGGACCTATTCGGAACCTTCTCGGGGTTCATGGTAAACTGGGACAAGTCTGTCCTTTTTCCCCTGGATAGTGCTACAGTGGCTAATATACACCCTACGTCCACATTATGAGTTGCTAATGAATTCAAATATCTGGGTATTAAGATTCAGCTACCCCTCTCCTCCTATATTGCTAATAACGTAACCCCCGGCTATTGACTCTTCATTTGAAAACCAAACAATGGATGGATTTACCACTGGATCTTAGGGGGGAGAGCCAATATCATTAAGATGAACTTCCTCCCCAAGTTACTGTATGTCCTAGCTAATGCCCCTTGTTATGTCCCAAAAAGTTATTTCCGTAAAATGTATTCTATTTGCATTGTGTTTCTGTGGGGGGACTGCACCCCTCGGGTGGCCTTGGAGGTGCTGGAGCTTCCTCGCTCAATGGCGGGACAGGCCTTTCCTAATTTTCACATGTACTACCTAGCGTAAAGGGGATCCATAACAAGCAACCTGGGACAGCCATGATTTCTGTGACTGTTCGTATCCTAAGATATGTCATTGATCGATTATCATTGCCCACATGGTCCCACTCTCCTTACTCACTTATGGAGTAATCCTACTCCATAAGTCTGGTCCTCGAAAGGCATTGCATCTCTGTCTCACTTGTTTAGGAATGGGGTGATGCTTGATTTGAGTTGAGTTGAAGCTCTCCTCCTCTGATTTTTTTTGGCCTTCTTTTAGCTCCTCCATGCGATCCGAACCCAATTTGGGTCGACCGCCTTTATACCAGCCCAATCACCCTTGGAGGGGATGCTGCGAAGGGATGATTCATCAAAATTGATTTCAACTTATTATATGGAACTTATTATATGGAACTTATGTCCTACAGGTCTGGTAGATTTGATGGTAGATTTGACTAGCCTCTAAGGACAAATTGATACAGATGAAATTATTTTACCAGGTCTACTACACTCCCACCCTTTTACATAGATTGGGCCTTCGACTGACCTCATGTTGTTTTAAGCGATGTGGTCAGGAGGCTGATTTCCTACATTGTTTTTGGTTCATGCCCTATCATAAGGACCCTCTGGTCGGAGGATAGCCTGGGTTTTCCCAATATCTGCAATCCTGCGTTCTGCCTCCTCGGTCTGTTTGGCGAATTGTCATTGGCCTCGAGTGCTCAGACACTACTTTGTCTCCTTTTATTTTACGCCAGGAAGAACATTCTCCTGGTCTGGGGTAGCCCGAAAGCTCCCTCCCTGAGTGACTGGAAGAGATTGGTCGATCAGACATTGCCCCTCTATAAACTTACATATGAGCAGTGGTGCAACCCGATGCATTTTGCTCGCATCTGGGATCCGTGGCTGTCCTCATCTAACACAACTGTGGATATGAGGTGAGGTTCCAAGGACATGATCATCTTTTAGGCTAATGGCCTTTTTTGTACTCCTGGATGTGTTTCATACTCTATTGATTACTAGTGGCTACGTTCAATTTCCCACACTGTATTCTGCCCTGTGTTTGGAGGTTAGCTCTCATGTACTGGATTATGTAACCTTGGAAGCCGTGAAATGTATGTGTGTATCGCATCATTTACCCTGGGTTATGTTGACCCGGTTGTTGGATGTGTTAACTGTATGGTATAGATGTATTTTGTATGTGTCTATGACACGGAAAAAAAGAAAAAGACTCAAAAAAGTATCTTTAAAAAAAAAAGTGAAACTGTCATTCGGGGCAGGTTCTTCAGGTTCGGGTTCTTTTTATAGGCGACCTTCTCTGCAAATATTTACCTTCCCTGCTACCTGCTGCCAGAGCCCCATGTGGATAGGCCTGTGTAATCTCCATGTTGCTTTGCGTCTGTGTTTAGTGTTTACACAAAGCTAAGGACCTTTCCCATCGTCTCAGTGGGACAGTGCTCGGACCTGGGTATTGGCTTCATAAGCAGCAATCACTGCAATTTAGTACTAGGTATGTTCAATAAGTCCAATTACTGGTATCATAGAAAGTGGGCTACAAAGAGAACCTGCTTCTTTATCTCAATGTCCTCCTACTGACCCTTTTTTCCACTGGGGATTATATCAAACTCAGATTAAGGTAAACTGTATGAATTTCCTGACTTTGGTATAGTTGCTGTGTTGGCTAGATAGTTTTCACTTGTTGCCTGCAATTGCACTTTAATCTATACAGCCACCCATGAATGTGGATCCATCCATAGTTTCAGAAAGAAAGTGTTCCCAGCAACTGTTGATTTGTTAACACCTATATTAGGAGTCTGCAAATTTTAACTGTTGAGTGTATTTCATTTTAGGTGTTCGCTTGAATAGTCTTTTGGGAAGAAAGGGCAGTTTGGAAAAAATGAACAATTACTGGGATGTAGGTCAGTTCTTCATTGTGACCATGCTGGCCAGCGACATTGGAAAAGCTGTACAGGCCGCCGAACGCCTTTTCAAGCTGAAGCCCCCTGTCTGGTAAGCAATTATAGGATTGGATTTTGTCTGGAGGCCATATGCATTTTGTCATCAGAAAAGTTTGTTCTAGGTGCACCATTTTAAAACATTACAAGAAAACACCTTAGCACACATAAGTTAATTTATCCAGATGTTGCTGCAATCTCAGATGGGGTTACCTTCAGTAGCCTTCTAACATACTTTTGGCTTAAGTGCCTATAGATTTCACAGAAGGTAAATGTTGTATTTCAAACACAAAAATATTCACTGTGTAGATATGTATATAATGGATATTAGGATGAACAAAGTCTGGAACTTTTTTTTAGCTTATTGCGTACTGCATATTGAGCTTAGCTTTGATACCAGTGACAAAAATCCCTTCAGTTGTTGGAGGATTTAATTTCAGGGATAGTGTACCACACTGTTTTTCTTGTTGCATAATGTACATAATGAAAAGTTTTAAATAAAACATTAATCTTAAATGGACAGCGTTCCCTCTGTCTGGCAGGTACCTAAGATCCGTGGTACAAAATCTGCTTCTTATACAACAATTCAAGAAGCTCAACACAGAACATTCCCCAAGGCAAGAGAGGCTGAATTTCTGGATGGACATAATTGTCGAGGCAACAAAAGAGTCTACAAATGGGCTGAGATTTCCGGTAAAAGAGTATTAAATGAAAAAAAATAAATGCAAGGAGAAATTAATGAATTTCAGTTCAAATCCAAATTTTTTACGCCACTTAGCTCCCAGGCAATTTGTTCTCCAAGCCCTGTGTGAGCAATTTGTTCTCCAAGCCTTCTGTTACACAGAAGTAAAACTGGTTACTCTATAGAACTGAATTTATTCAGTATTGGCTTATATTTTGCTAAACTTATGTAGGCTTTTAGCTTTCATCCTAGTGCCTCAAATGTATGCTAAATAGGTGGTTATTCTTGGCTCTACCAGCATGTTAAGTTCGATGAAAGGAAAACTATGGAGTAAGTGAATTACACTCATCCCCATAGTTAGAGCCGACGTGTGACATTGAAACTGTCACATGTCAGCTCTATTTATGGAGAAATGAGCGAAAACATACCGCCGCTCGCTCACTTCTAATCATCTCTCTTTTCTTCCAGCGCTCAGGGAACTGACGGGGGGAGAGGTGGGCATAGCTGGCTCTGCCTCCAGATAGGCAGAGTCCGCTGTTAATCAGCCGGAGGGGTGGATCTCGAAAATATTGTCGGGATCTGTCCCGGCTGCGGCCCTCTCAGCATATAGCAATAGCTCGCTTTATACTGAGTCCTCCCGTGACCCTAAAGAGAACTATAGGATAAAAAGGTTACCCCATGGTTCTCTTTTAAGCCTTATCTGAAACAGTGGTGGGGTGAGTGCAGAGATCGTATTTTGATGATAGGTACACTATAAAGTTAGTTTTTATTCAATTCCCAAAGTGTAAGAAACACAATTCAAAGGTTTGAGAAACAGCAATGACGTTACAGCTGCAACCAAATTGAAGGCAGGTTGATGGCTTTAAACAAACTGATCCACAAGGGTTCTTATCTCTTAATAACTGTTAGCAGTTGAACTGTTGATTCCTGCATTATCAACCTGTGTTTAGTAGGAGACTCCAGTACCTTGAATGCCCCAGTTGTACCTGATATCTAAAGTAAAGAAAAAGAAAAAAGATAGAGACGACTAAGGAATGGTAAAGAAAAAAAGAAAAGGATTAGAGATTGAAGGAAAGAAAGGGGAAGGTTTGAGAAATGGGGATGAGGGTGGGGGAAAGGAATGCCTTGGGTAAACCTGACCTATGGGGACTATGTATAATGAGTAATCCAAGGATCCCAGATTTGACAAAGCTTAGAGTCATAAAATATTGCCACTCATTCACTAGGTACCACAACATTTTTATTTTCTTTTTTTTTCCAATAAAAATGTATTTTATTTTAACTTTCAACACATATCAAAGAGGATAAGAGTATTGATATTGAGTTACATACAATTTGCGTATCACCGTATAGCCATTATCAACATAGAAGGCTAATTCCCATAATACATTCTGCTATCACTCCATTGCAAATATTGCATAACAAATATCGGTCACATAGGGGTCAGATAAATCTAGATTTGTTAGCTGTATAAGCTTATAGTCAGGAGAAAAATTTAGTCCGTGACTAAACGCAGGCTCCCCAGCGTATTTGACAAGTCTGCTTTCAAGTACCATTTGGTATATCGGAAAGACTGCACCGGGTGTGCTACTTCCGAAGTTGTTAATGATTTGGCGATTAAGTGTCTGCTTGTCCTTATGCATTTCAGCATCCAGCCTTTCTTTGGCTAATAACTGTTTCAAATCCCTGATGAGTTCCTGAACCCCAGGGGCCAAGGGGCATTCCAGTGCATTTCAGTGCCTCATTAAGCATCTTCTAGCTACCAGTAGGCAGATGTGTAACCAGTCCAAGCCTTTATAATTATTATGGCCTAGTGATCCGGTAAAATAGTCGAAATACCCAAACAGGCATAATGCGTAATCCAGTGCAGGTTTCCATGAGACGATGGTGCTTGCGTAACTCAAAGTTTGATTCCACAAGTCGGACACCGCCGGGCATGCCCAAAGACAATGATGTAAGGTCGGACGCCAGCAAGAAGTTTAGGGAATAGATCCAGGTCACCGAAATCTCTCTGCCATCCTCTCATAACTGACTGTGAGAGGGGTGAGAGGAATAGAGCTTGTAATTTTGAGTACACCGTGGAGATGGAATAGGATTTGCTGGAGATGAGGACAAAAACGATGAGGATAAAAGTGTTCCTGAAAAACTGCGCCACATAGATTTTAACTGTAGGAAGTGCAGAAAGTCACAAGAGGGAATGTGATATTGTTGCCTCAGTTCCTGGAAGGAGTAAGGTGAGAGAGTACAGGGATGAAATAATTGACTCCAGTGATGTAATCCTTTCTCCTTCCATTTATGGAATGCTGAATAATCCCCTCCTTGGGTGAACTGGGGGTGACCCAGTATTGGACAATAGGGAGACATTCCCAGGGGTGCTTTCCTCACCTCCCTCCATGCAATGATCGTGTCCTTAATCAAGGTTATGTGTTGGATTTTTTGGGGCAGGGAGGATATTTTACAATGGAGAACAGCTTTGAGATCCCATGGAGCAATCAGCTCAGCTTCCAGGTGGGTGTTGGAATACATGGAGCTGTCGGAGAGCCAGTCCAATGCATGGCAAAGTAGACATGCTATATTGTACAATTTAATATTAGGGAGATTCGTTCCTCACTCTTTGGGAGCCATAGTTTCTTAAAAGAGATTCTCGGTCTTTTCGCCTGCCAGATAAAGGTTGTCATAGCTTTCGTCAAACAAGCTATATCAGTTGTTCTTAGCAGCAGGGGGAGAGTTTGCAATGGGTATATCAGTTTTGCGAAGCTGACCATGTTGATAAGGTGGATTCTCCCGAAGAGCGACAGGGGAACGGCTCTCCACAGATCTAGTCCCTTGCAGATTTTCTAAATTAGAGGGGGATAATTGAGGTGATAGAGGGAGGAGGGTGTCTTGCCCACTTTCACGCCCAGGTAGGTTATGTGCTGCTGTGCCACTCGCATACCTCCGCTCCCACTCACCATCCCTGTTCCTGGCGGGAAGAATTTCACTTTTTTGAAAGTTAATACGAAGACCTGAGAAAGTTTTAAAATGGGTCAACATGTCCTGAATGACTACGGCGTCTTCGCTGGGTCGGGAGGTAAATATCAGGACATCATCCGCAAATAATGCTAAACGGAGATCCGCCTCGCCTACCTTGATGCCATGTAAGGCAGTGGACTGCATTATATGAGTTGCTAATGGCTCCAGGCACAAATTGAACAGAAGAGGGGATAAAGGGCACCCTTGTCTCGTCCCCTTTTCCAGTGCAAAAGGGGAGGACAGTGCCGTCTGAGTCAGTATTCTCGCGACCGGGGAAACATACAACTGCTCGAAGTAGGAGAAGACCTTTCCACGAAAGCCATATTCTGCCAATACCCAAAACAGCCATCTCATGTTCACATTATCAAAGGGTGATGATGGCTGATTCCATCATTGGATTAGAATGTGCCTGCTCCAAAGCCAACAAGACCTTGCGTATGTTAGTCACACCAGAGAGGCCCTTGACAAAGCCTACTTGTGATGGCTGAATCAGAGTCGGCAGAATAGCTGCTAGTCTGTTCGCTACAATTTTAGAAAGGATTTGTATGATCTGTATGATCCAGGAATCGTGGGGTCCCTCCCCTCCTTCGGTAGTAATTTAATATTTCCCTGTTACCGGGTACGGAGAGCCGTCCCACACCGCTGAGAATAGGGAGTGAAGGGAATCCACAATATCCACCTGCATAATTTTATAGAATTCAGCCGTGTACCCGTCCGGTCCTCTGGCTTTTCCATTACCTAAATTTGTAATAACCGATACTATTTCCTCACTGGAGATATCTAAATTCAGAGATTGCAGTTGATCCTGGGTCAGGCGCGGAAGGTTCACCACTTCCAAAAAGCGGTTCGCCGCCTCACTATCAAATGCATCCTCAGAATAGAGAGACCTATAAAAGTCCTCCAAGATAACATTTTTCTTTTAATTAGTCGAATAGTTGGGATTTTGGATTTCCAAATGTTAGCCAAGGTTTGTTTGGTGGTCATGAATGTGAAAGTAATAAGTTTAAGTTCAGCTTTGGTACAGCCCTCAGGTTTAGGGTTGTTTAGTAAGGCTTTTTATAGATTTTCTCTGAATGCTTCTACCCAAAACTGTAAAGAGAAAGCCGACCTATCTTTAAAATCCACACTAATCAATAGGGGAAATGTTAGCAAAGCACATTATTATTGTAAGTGAAAAGTAACCTTTCTTTGCAGAAGATTAAAACAAAACTACTGCTTCCAAGTCATCAGCCTAGGCAGTCTAGAATACATAGTCCCTGGCTTATTAGAAATGGCAGAATGTACTGTTATCCAACATATCAGACCCTGTCTTATAATAATGTTCAGTTGAGTTCACTCCACCCAAAACAGAGAATGGTGCATTAAATCACCTAATGGTTTCTAATATCTGAGGGACTCAGGTGAAGAGATCTCTGTACATGAATTCCTAGTTTTGTACACCATTATTCGGGAGTCCAGTTGTGGCTTGAATGTATGTGGAGAATTCAACAGGAGGAATAGAAATACCCCTGTATTTCTAGGACTTGGAAGGTTGACAGGAACATAGCCAGAAGATTTGGTGGGTATAGCTCACTGACAGAGATATGAGAAACCACTGTGCAGCCAGACATGACTTATAACTGAAATACTGTATTGACTCTTTAACAAATTGAATGATTGAAAGCTTGACATTTGTAAAACAAAACAACTGACCTTTCGTTCCATTTCTAGGTTCTTGTCTTGGAGCCTACAAAGGTTTATCAGCCCTCATATGTCTCTATAAACAAGGAGGCTGATGAGAGAACAGTTTCACTATGGCACGTGTCTCCTGTGGAAATGGTAGGAGTCAGAATTGCTTGTTGATATTAGTTACATTTTTTCCAGTTACTATCTGGTATTCATTGTCTTTTTAATACATTACAACCATTTAGGATCCATCCTGTATTGGATTTCGGAAGAATGAATCCTGATTGGTTGTTTGGGTTGCAGCATTCTAAAATTAGTACTTAGGGAGAAGAAATATTTTCTAAATAAGAATGTTTGTGTATATATCAGTGATATAATCATTGAGCACGTATGTCACCCCTCTGTGTATTTCACTTGTTTTAGCACATGTAGGGGTAGTTACATATGGTTGTCTTGTCTATTGCTTAAATGTGCAAGTTCATAATCTAAAGGCATGCTATTAGATGCTATTAGATTGATGGTAAAGGATTAACTGCAAAATACAGGTCGCATGAGCACACACAACTAGAGATGCAGGTACTTAAAGTGACACTCAACTCAGGAGTTAAATCCTAAAAATGCATTCAAGTACCTTAACTATTAACAAAAATGTATCTTATTTGTGTATCACTCAGCTGTATATCCTGAAATCATCTCTGAATTGGTGCTGACACTGTCCTTCCTTCTGGACGGTGGCTACTTTTGTTTCCCATGTCCCTGTGTGTGTTGTAAAGCAGCCACCGCTTCAAGCTCACTCCCGTGATGGACCACAATCTCAATACAAATTAGTAAACTAAACGTGAGATTGTAGTCCATCACAGGAGCGAGTTTGGGGTGGGGGCTACTTTATAACACACACAGGGACCATGGGGAACAAAAGTAGCCAACCTCCAGAAGGAAGGACAGAGTCAGCATGAATTCGGAGATGATTTGAGGATCTATAACGGAGTGATAAAGAAATAAGCTACATTTGTGTTAATTGTGCATTTGTATTGTTTTGTTAAAAGGTGCTTGAATGTATTTTTAAGACTTGACTCTTGAGTTTAGTTTCACTTTACAGTGGATCTATAGCCAACATTTTAGTTTTGGATAGAGGTTGTTGAAAATCCCTATCAGATTTTGTTTTGCTCTCTGTGTCAAAATGAAGAAGAAAATCAATTGGCCCAGAACAGATGTTCCCTTAAGAGGATTTCTTCTTCTCCAGTGACAACTGTAAAATTTTCTATGATAGTGACAAGGACACAGGTTCTTACCCTTCCCCATTACATCCATTGCAAAAAAAGATAAAGATACACTTTGATGTGATTTTTAATGTGAAAACCACTATAAAGCATTGAAATGTTGATAAGCTGGTGACACTCTATAATCCACATTTAGACTTATGATGAGGACAGGGCGGTAGTGACTGTCAGGCTGGACTCGCAGTGAATAGCATCCAGCCTAACTCTTCACTACACTAAAATAAATATTCTTATTTTATTATTGTTCACTCTGCAAAGTGAAATTCTACCATAGTGCTTCTATGTAAAAAGCAAGGCACATGGTTATGTACAGTATGTGTAGAAACACTAAAAGAAAAATGAAAGGTTCTATTAATCAACCTGGGAACAGAACAAAAACAAACTGCTTGTAAATTTGGAATGTCAGTTTAAGTGCTTAAGGACAATGCTAGTGTATTTTAAAACCTGTTATTGTTTATGACTGACGCTTTCTAGGAAAAGTTCTAGTGGGTGGCTGGTTTGACGTCAACGTAATACCATTTTTTCTCGATACATTTTAGTCTGCAGAATAGGTGACAGTTACATTACAGGATCGTTTTTCACAAGCAGAAAATGTTTGTCTCACAAATCCGGTTTCTTCTTTCAGAAAGGGATTCACGAGTGGAACTTCACTGCTTCTTCCGTAAGGGGTATAAGGTAGGGATATAGATACAATTGTTTGGCATGATTTATAATGTATTTATGTTTAATGCATTTATTTTGCATCAATTTCTTCTACATCCCTTCTGCAAAAATTCGGCCCTACCCACGCAGAAGCTTACAAGCTTGTGTCCTTATCATAGACAAGACAAGTAAGTTGTCCATATGTTTTTTATTCAGGGATGAAACCCACACAAGTGTAGACAAATCATGCAAACTGCAAATCTATAAAGCCCAGGTGGGAGCTGGACTTCAAAGCTAAGCTGCTACACGGTTAACCACAAATGCATTGTTCTTCCTTTTTAGGGTATATCTTTATGTATTCATTCTAAATAGGGATTGGAACACAAAGACAGGAAATTCTATAAGTATTAGAAAGTCTGTTCTGTCCAAACAATTCCTGGAAGAGTCGCTCGTAAAAATGTCACTTTTATGTCCCTGCCTCCCTGTGTTTATTTGTGGAATTAGTCACAACTTGATCTGTTTTATGTTGTACTTATGCTGCTCATTTCTGATGCTGGTCAAAAATAACTTTCATAAAGGTTTCAAGGATTTGGACTTTTCAGATAGGAAGTATATGTACTAATAATAGGTAAGAATTATTAGAGAGGATTTGTAGTGCAGACATACTTCCGGTGTATGATCTACATCAATTGAAAACTCCCATTCTGTAATCTCAGCCGTTATATGTCGTATATGGGGGCTGCTAATGCAAACTTGTTTTTAAAGCGATAGGCTGTAGAATTGTCGTCCTGATCCTTCCGTCATTACATGGGGCATCACTGGTGTGGAACAAGCACAATTTTATCAGGTATTTTGACATTTCAGTGGCTGCAAGATTATTCTAAGGAGGCTATTCACAAAGCTGTCGAAGGCAGCCGAGTCAATAACCCAGCCGAAGTAAAGTAAGCCGAACAACGTTCGGCTATTCACTGCGGCTCAGTACGGCTGCCTTCAGCTGCACTTCGATCAGGGTAGAAGGATTTCGACTCAGCCAATCCAACATCTGGGGCCAAACGTAACCGAGCGGCATTTGGCTTGGCTATTCTGCTCGGTACCTCAGTGGTACTGAGCAGAATAGAAAATCAATGAAAAGAGTTAAAAAAAAAAAGTTGAAAAATATTTTAATAATTTAAATAAATAGTAAAATAAAAAACAAAAATAAAGATTTTTTTTAAAAAGAAAAAAATATTTTTAAAAAAACGGGCGGAGCTAGCAGTGACCGCTAGCTCCGCTCAACTGTTTCCTATTGGCCGGCACCTGCTAGAGTAATCTAGCAGGTCCTGGCCAATGAATAACAACTGGGCGGAGCCGGCCGTAACGTCACTAGTGTCCTTCCGTGACCCAAAGCTCAGTATATTGCGAGCTGCAGTTCACTGTATACTGAGACCGCCGCAGCCGGGATGGATCCCGACATTACTGTCGAGATCCACCCAGCTGCGTGATTGACAGCTGGCTCTGCCTATCTAGAGGCAGAGCCAGCTGTACCCGCCCCCTCCCACGTCCATCCCACCAGTCAGCGCTGGAGTATCGGAGAGGGGGGAATCCCTGCAGGGAGCCGTGAGTGACAGTCACGGCTCTCTGCAGGCACATGATCGAGAAGTGAGCGGGCAATGGTATGCGTTCGCTCACTTCCAGGTCTATTGAGCCGACGTGCCACAGTTTAATTGTCACACGTCGGCTCGAACTATGAGGTTGAGTAAAAATCACTCACCTCATAGTTCTCCTTTAAGTCCCTGTTCACACCAGGGCATTTTGATGTTGAAGGCTTAAGCGTCAAAACACACAACACAAGAATTCCCATTCATTCCTATGGCTCTTGTTCACACCTGAGCGTTTAGTAGCAAGCTGTAAAAACACTGAACGCTGGAAAAGGTGCATGAGCTTCTTTCAGGCAGATTCATTGCGTTTGTGCTCCATTGATTTCAATGCAAAACGTGGGGTTTTCAAGCGTTTTTGTGCAAAAAGAATGCACGTTTTTAAGGCGCATATACATTGTGGAAGACCACCTGCAAAGCACACTGGGAATCAAAATGGTTGATTTATGTCTGCAGAACTTTGACTCTGAGGCATTTATAAGGCTGATACAGGCACAACCATGCCTGTATGACATGCGCAACCCCCTTTCTAAAAAAAGAGGGAGAAGGAGGCAGGCTTGGTCATTGGCAGTTTCTAATTGTAAACTATTGATATTGATATAACTTGTACTATAGTAGTATCTATTTGTCTTGTTTCTAAATAACTGAAAATCTGACCACATGTCTGTATTTTTACAGCATATCAAAGTTTGATGAACGATGTTGCTTTCTTTATGTTCATGACAATTCAGATGATTTTCAGATCTACTTTTCCACTGAGGATCAGTGTAATAGGTAAGTGTAAGCTGGTTATAAAAATCTCTGTATCGGTTAATCTGATAGCCATGCGATTGAGGCCCCATTCCCACTTAGCGATTTATCGCGCAATTTCCACCGCGATATTTGCACCGTGAAAAATGCACCGTGCATTTTTGCCATGCGATATCGCGAGAAGTCGCCGACCAATGCTATTCAAAGGAGCTGTCTTAGCTCCATGTCGCCTGTCGCTCCAGCAGGACCCTTTTTTCAGCGGATTTTGCATGATTTTTTTTTTTTTAACAATATATCTTTATTGAATTTTGTAGTAGTTCGAACAACAAAGTAGCCAGTGTGCAGATACAATGACACGTAGTAATATTACATGTACAGCTATAACATGTGTTTCAACAAAACAGGTCAAGAGCATAAAGAATTACAAGGAATGAAACACAAGGCTGGCGTTCTATATGATCTGCAGAAATGCAACTATAATAAACATCATAAAGAGGGGGGGAGGAAGGTAAGGGTAAAGGAGGGGAGGGTGGGATCATATGTGTGCATCAATTAAAGAGTCACGATTTTTGTATTTTTTAATGGAGCCCGACGCTGAAGGTCGCGCTAACGTCACCCCGAAGTCGCGCTATCCCGGCCGCGCGGATCCGCTGCAAAGGAAAGTCGCTTAGTGTGAATGGGGCCTTAGGCTGGGCACACACCTTACAACCATCGCAAGACTTTTTTGTCTGTTATCGTACGGACATGCCACAAACCCTTACAGTAGTAGAGGTCGCACGGCTTCCACACACCTTGCGATAATCGTACGATCGCGGGATTTCCCACGATTATCGTAAGGTGTGTGGGGACCTTTAGATAACCCTGCCAAACAAAGCCAGGTCATGCACCCTTACTGTTGACTACAACGAAGTTAAGCAACACAGACTGGTCCAGGGTTTACCCGAATCTGGGATTGCTGATTGATGAGGTCATCTCTTTAATTTCTCTTCCTGCCAGCATGTATACAGAGTTAGATTGAGAGCACTTTGCAAAGCAATAGAGCCCTGATTTGCACAGAGTTCTGCCCTTTCCTCTCTCAGTCTATATGCTGCCGTGCAAAGATTACAGGAGGCCAATATCAAGACAGTTCCAGGTACTTATTCTAGCTCTGTGTAAAAATACATTAAGGGCTACATGCAGGGCTTGAAAAATCCACTCATCCGCTCATCCGTGACGAGAGGACGGTGGAGCCCGACGAGCAGCTTTTCATTCAAGCGATCGGGCATCTCTGCTTAATCAGCTTCTCTGGTGGTCCCTAGGTGACATTATGTCTCCATAAAGAGGACCTGTCAAATACTATGTAACTATGTAACTATGTAAATTGGCTATTACATAGGGGGCTTCTGTAATAGCAATAAAGCTGTGTGTAAAAAAAAAAAAAGTAATACTAAAATGAAAGAATCATATAAAAAATAAAGAACCATACATTTGTATTTTTTTTTTAAACATTTTTTTAAGTCCCCGCCCCCCACATACACACGCAGATATGAGTCAGGTGCGCCTACTTGCGAAAACGACGAGTGCGCCTATTGTGCCACACTTTAAATATCACCGCAAACGTCAGAGTGAGAGCAATAATTTTAGAGCCATTAATCACTGATAATACTAAACTGATGAGCAGTAAAATCGTTTTAATCGTCGCCTATGGGCGTTTTTTGCTTACTTTTTATTTTATAATTGCAAGGCTATAGTCCGGTCATGCTGACTGGTGACATTTTTGACTGACTGGTGAGACACCATCAAATTTTTCAAGCCCTGGCTATATGTATCCACATTTATACTAAGAATTCGAATTTCCCCAACTACTAGTCAGATTTAAACTTTTAGCCCTGGTTCACACCTAGGCGTATTGCATATGCGCGTATGTCGCGCGTTTTTTTTACCGCGATTCGCGGTAAAAATATTGCGCGACACACGCGCGTTTCCGAGGGCTACTTGGCTGTATCCCAATGGAAACGCGCAACAAAAACGGCCCAAAGTAGTACATGTACCTTTTCAGGCGTGGGCCGTTTTGTAGCGCGTTAGGGACGGGCTGAAATACGCCAAGGTGTGAACCAGACCCATTGAATACAATGGGATTTAGATGTTTGAGCGTTTTGTAGAGCGTTCGTCGAGCGTAGAACGCGCTACAAAACGTTCAGGTGTGAACGAGGGCTTAGGGTGGTGTGATGCTGATTGGTGATTGGGAAGTAACTCCAAGGCTTAGTAAGAGCCACATTAGGCAAAAGACCCTTTAGTAATTTTAAAGGAGAATTATAAGGTGAGTGCTTTTCACTCAGCCTCATAATCTGAGCCGACCTGTGACAATGAAACTGTCACAGGTCAGCTCAGTAGATCGGGAGGTGAGCGAACACATACCGGCGCTCGCTCACTTCTCGATCCTGTCACTGCAGAGAGCCGTGACAGGGGAGTGACTGGATTCTCCCCTCCCCTGCCCGATCCTCCAGCGCTGACTGGCGGAACGGACGGGGGAGGGGGCGGGTACAGCTGGCTCTGCCTCTAGATAGGCAGAGCCAGCTGTCACTCACGTAGCTGGGCGGATCCAGACATAATTGTCGGGATCCGTTTCAGCTGCAGCGTCTCAGTATATATACTGAGCTTTGGGTAACGGGAGGACGCTAGTTTGTGTCCTCCCGTTACCCTTTGGAGAACTATGGGGAAAAGCCCTGACCCCATAGTTCTCCTTTAATGAATGCATAAGCAGTTGATGTGGTGTTTTTCTCAAGGGTCGTGATTGGTAATGGTTTCCTAGCAATAAAGAGTTGGCTTTACCTTTGTTGTGTAAGAATCAATGAAGTTGACTCATTGCAAAGGAAAAACTCAATTAAATGCCATGTAATTAAAGTGAGAAATATACACTGTGATCCAATGTTACCGCTGCACTAAGGAGTATCATTGTATCACTGTTGGCAAGATTCAGTATGACTGTTTGTGCTTTAGTCAGCTACCATAAATCTGAGTGTATATTGAAACACTGTAGATCCATGTATATGTGGCGCTGATTTCATACACTAATCTCCATTTTTCTAGTAAAGACAAGCTTGGCTGCATTCCATCTGCCTCCGTGAGCTTCCCTATTTGTTCTTTAGGGAGGCTTGGGAGGTGGAGTGGGAAGGGTTAAGTTAAGCTTTTACAAGAACATTTCAAAACACTCTGGTGAGAAAGAAAAATTAATTGAAGCCGCAATTGCCCTCTTTGTTTGCAGTTAGCGCACTTGCATGTTAGCGCACTTATGCTCAACATATGGCAGTTTCTTCTCTCCTGCTCTTCCCTCTGCATTTAGATAAGCTTTAAGAGGTTGTCTGAGCTCTGGCTCCATAAGGTTTTGCAAGGTGCATCTCCCTACCTGCTGCTTATAGACTTAAAGGAGAACTATGGGGAGAGTGAAATACGCTCATTCCAGTAGTTAGAGCCAATGTGTGATACTGCAGATGTCAGTCGTTGGCTCTACAGCTCGAAACTGAGCAATCACATAGCTGTAAGTTACCACTACCCGCAGGGATTCCCCCCTCCTCTCTCTGTTCCTCCAAACCTGACTGGGGGGAGGCAGGGGAGGGGGCAAGCACAGCTGGCTCTGGCTTTAGAGAGGTACAGTCAGCTGTCAATCAGGAAACAGGGTGGATCCCAATATTGTCGGGATCTTTCCCGGCTGCAGCCGAGCTCTGTACTGTCAGCATATTGCCCACTTTGTGTTGAGTTTTGGGTCACAGCAGTACTTGACTTCCTGTGACCCAACAGAGAATTAATGTCAGAAAATGTTTGGCCATGGTTCTCGTCCATGGAATTCCCCAAACAGCTATCATTATGTGTCATGTACATGGCTGTCTGTGTGCTGTTGAGATCCTTTGCACTGGCATTACAGAGTTTTTAAAGCTGGATTCTCCACGGCTGTTATGCAGATCCGTGCTTCATTCCTGGTAAGCCCATGATCTGAAACACACACACACACACACACACACACACCCACACACACACACACACCCACACACACACACACACACACACACACACACACACACATGAAGGATAGGAATTCAGGCGTTTTAAATGTAATTGGCTGCATGCTTGTTCCAAGTCATCGAGTTACTAGGACTGCTTCCATGTACAAAAGCGACCTGAAGGCTTTTTAAGTCTAGGAGCACTTATGATGATGATGATTATTATTATTATAGAATAACCGATGACTAAGAAGAGTCACATCACTAGACTTTAGGAAGCAGTCTGTCTTACAGTGTCATGATTGGCTATGGTCAGTCCTGACTTCCCTCTGCAAATTAAGCTCACAATTATTTACCATCAATTACACCTCACCCATCTCTACATAAAATGCAATGAACCTTTTTGCCTTTTGTTATGCGTTTCCTGTAGGTATGGTGCAGTATTTACATCCTTGATTTCCATTTAAGCATTTTACTCTTCAGATTGGTTCCTTAATAAACTACAGAACCGAGCAACAACAAAAAGACTGGTTTCTCCTAACAAAATGTTTTAAAAGCTTAATGCAGCATCTCTTATATCTTTAGTGTATGTTATCTATCGTTAAATGACCTTTAACAGTATACACTATTGATATTCCATTTTGAGCCACAGTTTAAATGCATATCTTCTGTCACTAACAGGTTTTGTAGTCTTGTTAAAGAGATCATCACGGATGTTGTAGGCAGTACTGTAGAGTTGGAGGGTGAGGCAGATGGAGATACATTAGAGGTAAGTGCTGCTTTATATAGGTAGTTTATGTGCATTACTCAGTAACCTCTTTTTATGTACATTGCAATATGCATGCTTTATGTATTTTGTGAACGTCTTGCATTCTTATTAATCTATTATAATAAAAATTGGTTTTATAAATATAGTAATAGTATAGTGGAATATTTTTCCTTTTTTCCTTGCCACCATATTGTGCCTTTAAACATGTACCTGACACATAAGCACTTTGTAGTCATATATATATATATTCACTAATGGCAGGTTGATACCACAGTGCTATTACTATTTCCTAAAGTAGACATAATGCTGATTCCGAAGTTTTTTATACTTAGTGGTGCTAGTAGTAGCATTTTAATACATCCCCCCTATGACCCCTTATCACTAGTGGTAAAACAACCCTACACAAAGGCTCAACCTTCCTGGTTCCTTATAACAATATGAAACCAATGCTGGCATGCTGATCTTGCTGGAGGAGGTGAGGTGATGTGAGCAGGCAGTTGCTGCTGGTTGAGCTGCCTGACCTAACATACTGTCACACAGTTCCTTTTTCATTATACAAGTTTTAAATAATAGATCTCCATTACTTTTTACATTCCTTTTTAACTGTAGGGCTTTGTGAATGATAAGGCAATAGTTGATTTTCTATATTTCTATATGTCTTTCTACATTTGTGATATACATATATTATGTTGTGAAATATTTTCAGTATGAATATGACTATGATGAAAATGGGGATAGAGTAATCCTTGGCCGAGGTACTTATGGAGTAGTATATGCAGGGAGAGATCTCAGCAATCAAGTCCGTATTGCAATCAAAGAGATACCAGAGAGAGACAACAGGTGAGTCCTGAATGAGTGGTGTCTTATTATACTATGCTGTAGTAAACTGAGTTATTTTCAGTACCAGACTTCAAAGAGCCCTTCTAAAGAAAAGCCGAATGGGCCGAATTCTAGTTCACATCTGTGTTGGACAGGGTGCAAGTCCACCACCTCTGTGTGAGTTTTTCGGGGAGCATGTGTTCAGGAACAAGTGTAGGCCGGTGTGCTGCGCTTGGTTGTGTGTGATCCACCTTTTAATTGGTCTCTAAATTGTGTAGAAATGTGAAATATCACAAACTTAATACAGTGCCAGTGATCAAATCCTTATTGCGACAAAATATATAATTATTTATTTTTATACACTTTATATATTTTCTATACTCACAATCACCATTGTTAACCCAATATTTAATATTTATTTAGGTACACACCTATTTCCTTTTTTTGACATGTATTTCAGTATACAGCCGCAATAAGGATTTGATCACTGGCACTGTATTAAGTTTGTGATATTTCACATTTCTACACAATTTAGAGACCAATTAAAAGGTGGATCTCACACAACCAAGCGCAGCACACCGGCCTACACTTGATCACGTTGATAGATATTGCTGCAGCTGGCTAATTTCTGTAATAATACATCCTAGCGCAACTACTTTGGTTATAATGTGTTCAGGAACGGAGTGCATGATGTAGAAATGAACCACATTTCCACATCCTGCACTTCACAAATTCACCTTCTGGTAAAATAGATTGCAGTGCTGGTTTGGCAGATCCATAATAACATATATTCACTTAACACGTACTAGAATGCCACTCCTTCATTCAGTAATGTGGCTATCTGCATTTTTTCTGCTCCCCCTCCAATAAAACCACTAACTGCCCCATGTAATGTTCCTGCTGACTTCACTAATCCATCACTCACATTGTTCTTATATGCCAACAGAACATTTAGGCACCCGAATTGGGATTTAATTACTCTGCTGTGCCTGCCTTCTTCTGTGAAAGGTCCAAATGCCATCTTTAGTTCCCTCATTGGTTCCCTTTTTGCATTTGGTCAAAATATAACCACACACACATATTAAATGGGTTCATATTACCTGATGGGGACTGTAAATAATATCTAATTATAAACAGTCTTTAAAAGTGAATCTGAAAATTTGTACACTTTTCTTTTTCTTAATTTTCTTTTTGCATGTTATCATTGCTTTTTTTCTGTAAAAATTCAATTTTGTTTTTTTTTACAGATATTCCCAACCACTTCATGAAGAAATTGCGCTTCACAAGTATCTGAAACACCGCAATATAGTTCAGTATCTGGGCTCTGTTTCTGAAGATGGATACATCAAAATATTTATGGAACAAGTCCCAGGAGGTTTGCATCAGCCATATTTATATTTGCTACAGCGACTAATAATGTCCCTCTGTAATGCTCAGATTTAGTTTTTGTGAATCACTTTAGCTTTCAGGATATTATATAATAGAAACAGGGATTGATCAATGGGGTTGATTTACTAAAGGCATATAGGTTTTTCACTTTGCAAGGGAATTGGCACTTAGCTGGGGAATTTTTCCTTACTTTATTGAATGAGAGGAAGCTCTACTAACCTCCATCACGCAATCATGTTCAAGAAAAATTGCTATTTTATTATTTTCCTTGCACATGTTTGGGTATTCTTTACAAAGTGAAGTTTCACCACATACACTAAACTAAGTTGAAACTTCCCCTACAAAGTGGATTTTCCCTTGCCCTCCGTAAATCAGCCCCAATGAATGAGTCAATGGGGTCGATTTATTAAAGACTAATAGGCTGTTCATTTTGCAAGGGAATTTTCCCATAGCTTATTGAATGTTCAAGGAAAATTAAAAAAAAATATATTTTTACTTGATTGGATGATGGAAGTCAGCTGAGTTTCACCTCATTCAGTAAGCTAAGGGAACCTTTCCCTGCAAAGTGAACAGCCTATTTGCCTTTAGTAAACCAAGCCCTGTGTAAATGATATACTCTCTCTATCACCCTTAATTCCGCATTTTCTTTGTGCTCACATTCAAATATTCTGTTGTACCATAATGCAGCAGCAGCGGCAGAGTACTCAGGCCATGGCTTAGATAAGAGTCCACTAGGTAAAATTAGACAGGCACTCACAAGATTCTTTGGACCCTATCACCCAAGAAAAGTGTAAAACTGACATGCAATGGGGTTGATTTACTAAAAGAAAATGGATTGTACACTTTGCAATTGAAGTTTCCACTTTTAACCCCTTCGTGACGGGAGACGTACACTGTGCGTCTAGTCACAAAGTGCCTATATGCCTGGGCACGTACACTGTACGTGACGAGTTATATCAGGCTTTGTAATGCCGGTAACCTCTGATTCTCAGCGGTTACCAGTCATTAATGAATGCCTCAGTGTTGAGGCATTCATTAATTAAATAATTAAGCTTTTTGTAAAAGCTTCTTCCTTTCATTAATTAAAGAATTAAGCCGTTACATGCAAATACGGGACCGCTATTAGCAATCCCGTATTTGACAGCTAAAAATAGCAGAGAGGTAGCTGTGACTCACCTCTCTGCTATTTGTTTTGACAGCTCGAGAGCCCGATGTTTAGATACATTTCACTCAAAAGATACATTTCACTCAAAGGAGATACATTGTATCAGTTCTGATCGTCTAGGCACGATCAAAGAGCTTTTAGTGAGATCTGAATTTGACTAAAGTCAGGATCAGTCTCTAAGGTTATTATTAGCTGTTCCTAAGTTTGGAGCAGCCTAATAATAATAAAATAAAAAAATTATTTTTTTTAAATAATAATAATCAAAACTTGTGGAAAAAAAGTGTTTTCTTCTAGTTTTTTTTCTTCATTTTTTTTTATTTTATTCAAACTAAGTGAGGCATTAGGTACACATGTTTGATATAATTATATAGCCCTATCTGTCCTCTAAAAAACAATATATAATATGTGTGGGTACATTTAGTAAGAAAGTATATTACTACTGTGGAAGAATCACACAGCAAAAATGTAAAAAGTGTGTCAGTCATTTATGAACAGAAACTGAAAACTAGCTCAGTCATGAACGGGTTAAATGCTGGAAGTAATCAATTGTTTTGATTATTTGTGATAAACAGCAATTCAAAACTGTCTTCATTCCATGCTAATTTTTATCTAGTATTGTCCTTTGGTGATTTATACAATTATATAAGCTGCTTTCTAATGACTACACTGAAATCTGCAGCATGACCTGTGGATGATGTACACTTAATGGGCTTCTTCTTCCCCTCTGAGACTGCAGACTACTAATAATTGTATTAATAATATTGTATGATTTTGTTAGGGACTTGACGGTCTAAGCTGCTCTGATGCAGGCTGATGTAAATGTTCAGTGTTCTCTGTATAACCGTATTTACCATTTCAGGTATACTAATAGATACTAATAGTGTATGTCACTGTGTTTGGCCATAAAATGTTAGCTCGCTTTGTGTATATTTATTTGTTCTGGTGAGAGGGGGGTTGTATTTAATTGTGACTCTGTACACCTTTTTTAGCAGTTACATTTACTTGATTGAAAGCCCACAGTCTGTTGCCGGACAATACAGGTGATTTTTGGCTATACGTAATTGTGAATAAGCAGGATCCAAAATACAATATTGACAGTGTAACCCTATGTCACCTAACTCCAGTGTTTTGGAAATGTTCTCAAAATTTATGTTTTTTTCCCCCATATTTTATTTTTCGTGTCAGTATGGAGACAAACGTTCTATGAGATATAGTTAAAGCTGAACTTCAGCCTTACCTTGTTTTCCCACACATATATTAAGTCCTCTCCTATGTGGGAACTGATTGCATCTCCAAAACCCTTTAAACCTGCCTTTTTTTCCTGTCTTAGTGACAATCATCAATCCCCATTTTTCCTGATCAGAATTGTCATTGGCCTGTCTATCACAGCTATTAGCTTTCTCTGCTATCAATCATTTTTGCTCCATGTCATGGCATCAGTCATTGTTATGCTTTTCCTTAAGCATTATCTGAAAGACCACATCCCTGGCACCCCTTTAGACTTGCTTATTCAGACTTTAGCTGTGCGATCTGCTGATCAGTTTCCTGATTACAAACATTTAGAATGTAATCAAGCAACTGATCACACATCTAAAAGGATGTCAGGGATATGTTCTTTTATATAACGCTCAAGGGCAGGTGCTGTGACAATTACAGGAGCCTGACAACCTCTCCCACCAAAATTGAACTTACTACAGAGCATAGGCCAGCGGAAAGACCCAGCCATGACATCACTGGGTCCCAGGGGAAGGTGTTACATGCATACATCACACTTTAGCTTTAAACATTATTATTATGATTGTTATTAAAATTACCTTTTGAATAAATAAAATGCCTCATTTTAGTTTTGATTTTAAATAAAAAAACTGCATTGCCGTGTAGTTGGCAATCTGTCACCTGAGAAATGATCATCTTTCTATGTACAGGTAGTCTTTCAGTTCTCCTGAGATCTAAATGGGGTCCTATGAAGGAACCGACCATAAAATTTTACACAAAGCAGGTCTTGGAAGGGTTAAAGTATCTACATGAGAATCAGATTGTACACCGAGATATAAAGGTAAATGACTGAACGTCGACGAATCAAATGTGTATATTTGTATTTGTAGTAGAATATGTTTTGGTGCATTTTCCAAGACTTTCATTAAAGACTAATGAGGTTTGCTTTGGACTTTTTTCTTCTAATGTTTATTTTATACTAAATGATTGGTCTGTTTATTTGGTAAGTAAACAATGTAATTGTGAGAGTCAACAATTGGTTGGCTGCTTCCTTATTGTTCCCCATTGTTTGCAGAAATAGGCTTAGTGCCAAGTTTACAGTTTGTCAGGTTATTGTGATACACTCAGGAGGCTCATTTCACAAAGCTTTATCACCAGACTAATTCATATGTCTATCATTTTCAAATGTAATTGGATTCAACAAAAAAAAAAAAAATCTCCCTTTTTAAAATAATGATCCCCATGTTGGCGTGTTAGCTTTGTGAATTGAGCCTAGAGGCATGTTGCTGCACACAGACCGGAAGGGGCAAATATTACAACTGAGGAAATGTTTTATTTTTTACAAACCGCTTTAAAGTAGAAAATGAAAATGTAAAAGCCGATTGGCTGTGCTCTAGTTGAGACAATGTTTGTCTCCGACACTTTTTGGTAATTCCCCCGGTACTGGTAGGTTTTTTGTAAGTTCCTGACTAAGGCTAATTCTTAACCAGATGGCACCACAACAAGAGAGCATGCACATTACAAGGATGAGTGCTGCTCTACAAAGTTTATATGTGGGGACTCTCAGTAGTCAGTTTTCCACTGCGTACACAAAATCCTGTATGTGTGGCAGCATACAAGGCAACTTTCCATGGATGGAGGATTGCCTAAAATGACTTTGAGTACCTTATACAGTATTTAAGAAGATGTTCTTTATAAATATTATTGTCTTGAACTGTGACTAGAATAAATCTCCGGCCACTTGCAGAGAGATCAGCGTACCTGGTTACCAGCTAACCAGGGACACTGATCTCCAGACAGCCCAACTCTCCCGCTCCCGGCCACACAGGAGAGAAACACTGCTTTTTCTTTTGTTTTTTATTCTGACATCGAGCCATTTACGTCGTCAGAATAAAAAAAAAAGAAAATTTCACCATAGGAATGCATTGCTAGATTCCTATTGGCTATTTCAATTTGCAATAGCAAACTAGCTACTGCACCCGCCCACTGCTGCTGTCAATCAGCAGAGGGGACCTGCAGTTCTCCATCAGGTCCCCACTAGTGATTGACAGCAGCAGAGGGCAGGTGCAATAGTTAGTTTGCTATTGGCTATTGCAAATTGAAATAGCCAATAGGAATCTAGCAATGCATTCCTATGGCGAAAATGTTTTTTTTTCTTTTTTTTGACGGCAGCAGAACCGCCGGCCAAAAGAAAACAGTTGGGCGGAGCTAGCTGTCACTGCTAGCTCCGCACAATCGTTTTCTATTTATTTTTTTCTACTTTTTAAACTATTTTTCTGTTCTGCTCTGTCCCACAGAGGGAGCGAGCAGAACAGCCGAGCCGAATGCCGCTCAGCGGCATTCGGCTATTCACTCACTGCTGTTCGGCATCTATAAGAATAGACCGGACAGCAGCGAGTAGCCTGCCGGAGGTTCGGCTTAGCCGATCCAGATGTTGGATCGGCTGAGTCAAACTCCTTCTGCACTTCGGGTCGGACGAACATTGTGAGCATGTTCGGCCGCCCCGAAGCCACCCGATGTACGGCTGATTTCAGCCGATATATGGCTGAAATCAGCCGTACCAGCCTGAAGTGAATAGCCGAACAGCGTTCGGCTCACTTCGCTTCAGGTCGGTCGTTCACTCGGCTGCCTACAGCAGCTTAGTGAATAGACCCCTTAGATTGTTTCTGTTCAAGACTCTTGACTCAGAAAATGATTTGTTGGTTATAAATGTGTGTGCGTAGGTACTTTTCCTTTGACCCATTGCGCTATGCAGTAGCTGTGAGTGTGCTTGATAGTGTACATTGGCACTTTGACAGTAGACAGAAATCAAAAGGGCCGAACTTGTTCTGCAGGTGAACAAATAATGTTTTTGTCATCTCACTTGCATATTGAAACCTAGTCAGGAGTCATTCAGGATGATATAACTATGGAAGAATGGGTGTTTCAGTCCCTCGTACATCTAAATAGGGGAAAGCGATGCTGGGGACGGACAAGCAGGCTGCTACAAGTCACTTGTACAAAGCGAGCGGCAGCTCCCCCGTTCTACATTTAGCCCTGCTTGCCCACATCAGGGCTAAATGTAGAAAAAAAACACCTGACCGGAACTGTTCCGGAGGGGGTTCTTTACAGTAAGAGCGGTTAAGGTCTGGAACTCACTGCCATCGGCAGTGATTTCAGCCAAGAGTGTAGATTTGTTCAAGAAACGTTTGGACAATTTCTTGAGGGACCGTAATATCCAGGGATACCAGTATCCCCAAAAATGAGATGATGCGTGGACCTATATGGGTTGGACTTGATGGACGTATGTCTTTATTCAACCCCAAATACTATGTAACTATGTAACTGCATGTCCCGGGTGTCGGGTGATAGGAATCCCACAGCCCTGTACATGGTCAGATCACAATCCCTGCCCCACCCTCCTTTGACAGGATCTGTTAATGGAGAAACTACAAGTCCCGTCATCCACTTCAGCAGAGGGACTTGCAGTTCTCTGTAGAAAACAAGTGGTGACTTCACCTCTAAATACTCTCAATACCATACCTCAGTACAGACATGGACTGGAAGGAGAGTCTGCAGGAGCTAAAGCATTGCACACATAATCTACTGATCCACAATGTTTTATTGGCTTCGATTCCAAAAGATACTAAATACACATTTTTTTCTTTTATGAAGAAGTGTGCATTTATTATTTTTTTTCTAAAAGGTGTATTTTAATAAATAAAATAAATAAATCATAAATAAAAAACTTTAATGACGTTTGCTTTATTTATCATCTAAGAAAAACATAGTGTATTCCTGTATTTGCTCAACAACAATAATAATAATAATGTATTAATAATGTATCTCACATCTTTCAATTAAAGCTTCAAATTCTATTTTCTGTCTTACAAATGGAGTATAACATTACCATCTGCATTGAAATGGTTGTAAAATTCCAAACATTGCTTGAATGCACTGAATATAAGTGACAAGCCTTTACTAGAACATTTGTGCTTTAGGGGTTTTTTTCTCAATCAATCTGAAAGATTTGCTGAAGAGTTTTATTTAACAGTAAAATATTTTCAAACATTTGTGAAATATAAATACCACAAATAGTGCAAAGTACAGAGTAAAGGATCAGCACATATAACTGAGGTTCTAACATACCTTACCTGGAAGGAACTCACTAAATAAAAGTTCATTTTCGGTTTCCTGGAAACCGGTATATGCGTTTACATTGAACACATGAATCTTCCTACCACAAAGCTATCAATGAAGAGAAAATGTAATTGCACACTGGACTGACAAATATTAGTATAAAGGGTAGAGATGTATGGCATCCCCAGTTATTGCCCCCCTCCTTGTTCCCCTCTTTTATTTGACACCCTTATCTACCTTCCATAGGTTTTCCAGCAATATATTAAACACTTAAAGTAAGCAAGGGTTCACTCTGAAATGCAACCTTTTAAACCAATATGGCTATATTGTTAACTCACACCTACATTGGTACACTTCGAAAGCTGAAGGAAGTGTTTAGGAAGAAAGGACATCCATGTCATACAGTCAGGTGATTGCCAAAATGGCTTGGTCTGTGGTCCCTAATCCACCCTACTGCCCAGATTTGGCATCATCGGACTTCTACCTCTTTGGTCCAATGAAGGATTACATTTATGGTAAAAGATTTGAAGACCTGCAGAAAGTTAGAACAACTCTGAAGCAGTGGAGCAAAGAGTGCTCTGTAGAATGGTATTGTTTCCATCTATGTGTAAACATTCTATATCTCAACATTACTTTTTGATACCCCCTTATACTAAGCAATTGTTGCAAGATGTGTGACAGACCTTAGAGTTGCTTGCATTAACCGGCTTACTGGTACCACAACAAGGTAATGAAAGTCAGTGTTTGCAGGAATCAAAAGCAATTGTTTTTCTGAGCGTGCCGTCAGGTCAGAAATCACTAATTTAGGAATGGAATAAGCAGTTGCGGAACATGTCAGGCTTTTCCAGAAAGGATATTTTAGCTTTGATTGTCAAAATATCTGACTGTATTCAGAGCGCCTCATTGTTCCGTTTATTTCTTTCCTTTCATAGATAATTGTGATGTAACAATAATTTTTATCCTAGGGTGATAATGTGCTGGTGAACACATACAGTGGAGTGGTGAAAATATCAGATTTTGGTACATCTAAGCGACTTGCTGGAGTTAACCCATGTACAGAGACTTTTACTGGTAAGAATCAGCAAATGATGTTTCTATGGCTACAGAGCTGATCTGATTTCACAGTTACAATCCAATGTCATTTGTACTCTAGTGGCACCTCTTTGTTTCTCTCTTTCCGACAACCTCTTTGATGTCCTTCTATGCCATTGTAATTCACATTTCTGTTCATGTTCTTCTTGTCCTTTTCATGTTTTTGAGTTTGTTAAATATGAAGCTTGCATCATTGCTTGTGTTGTATATGTGTCCATGTTATGTTAACATTTAAAAAGATATTGCTGTTCACTTTTTTTTCTCACATGGACAAGCACATTAGGATACTTGCCTCCTAATTTCCTGGAGAGTCACTAGTCTCTCTGAACATTCCAGCTAAGTGCCTGACTGGCAGTCATTCTCTTCTTCTGGTCGCACTTGCACATCACATCTTAAATCTTCCAACAGGGGCATACAAGTGCAGGCACCATGAGGTGCTGTTATCTTTCCTCATGTTTTCTCTCTTTTCCTCAAGAGCAGTGCTCCCCAACCTTTTTATCGCCGCGGACCGGTCAATGTTTGATATTCACTGTGAAGCCGTCGGCAGTGCGGGGCCCCGCGGCCCGGTACCATATGATCCACGGACCGGTACCGGTCCGCGGCCCGGGGGTTGGGGACCACTGCTCTTATTGACTAAGGCTAGCTGTACATGGCTCGAATCCAAGCTGTGTGTGTCGGCACCACCCAGCATAACAAAAGTCGATTTCAGAATTAAAGGAGCAAAGTGAAAAATGGTTGGGTGAACAGTGATTGCATCCTAGCAGTTACTATTAGGGTATGCAGGCAACGGCAGTAGCTGGCAGCTGACTAAATATAGTAGTCGGCGGTGCAGATTCTTCCATGTATGCTGTTTAGTGTCGGTTAGGGAAATGAGTGATATCTCTTGTTCAGTGTCACGTGGCTGAATGACAGAAAGCTGCACATTATTGCTTTCCTTGCTAAGAGTTAGAACAGATCTTCTTATTAGGTCTCAGAGGTCCGGGAACTGCATTGTGGGATATGAAGGGTGTTGTGTCTTTACTCTAACTTTCATAAAATGGTTATTTGTATAAGAACTTCAAATGGCCACGGGGAAGCTCTGAATGTCTGGAGAGAAAGACGTAACTCGCATATGTTCTTCCACTTTATGATTGATGCATTTGCATGCCCATGTTGCTTTTACACCTTTTTCTAACGATGGATTTGCTTTCAGATCTCTATTACACATATGTAACATTTTTTGAACCAGCCCGTTAGAATCTTACTGAGCATAGCCAAATTAAGTGTGGATCTGTAGTCCACAGATATAGCAGAAATACAACGTATGATGACAACATACATGGGTTGATCTCAACTTTTCCATTATACAACTAGATTTCTCTTTTAGCGATTGATAATTGATATTCCAAAAGATATTGACTGAAAGTTGTTTGTGACCTAATCTGTAAAATTATCAACCTCTTTGGGTAAAACACAAGGTCATTTCTGAGATATAAATAGTATGGATGAGGGAATTTGTATAGAGCTGTGACTTTTCCTGACTGCCAGACATTATATCAAAGGTCACACTGAGTGAACAATTCTTGTAGTCTGAGCTGACATATGAAGTTAAAGGGATGTATACTGTTTACATGTCTCCCATCTACTGTATCTTGTAATTTTATCTTTCAAAGAATGATAATAGTTATATAGATTCTCTTCAATAACTATACTCTGTACTAACTTTGGGAATCCTCAAGCTATGCAAGTGATTTTTCTCCAGTTAATACAATATAATTTAATATTGTTTTAGATGGAGAAAATGGAGCCAGCCTACCGCTACAGTCCCAGTGTATAGTGCACATTACTTTATGTTAAGTTAATTTCCTTCCACCACTGATGTGCTACCATCAACTGACAGATGGGAGCAGACACTGGAGGAAGTTGATGGATGAACTTCACATCTGAACACATGTAGGAGGATTATTTGTACAGGTCTGTATTATTATTGCAAAACACATATAATTTATAGTTATTAGGCAACTTGCTCCTAAAATTACCCTCATCATTGGAATTAATGCTAGCAGAGTAGTATAAAGTGTACACTCACATAAAACATGAGCGGATGTTCTGAGATCAGAAGCCTAATGACAGCTGTGGAATGCTCTGGCGTCTTCCAGAAGGCTGCATGGTGCCTTGGATTGGACATCTAATCTTATTAAGGACATGCTATAATCACCAGTCTCCGGGTCATTGAATGAGTATGAAAAGCATGTACTTTTTGTATACCTAGTACAGAATAGCCATGCTACCAGTGCTGCAAATACAGATCATATGCTAATCTTCCTAAGAAGCCAGCTGGATAAAGCTAAATGAAATGACATTACAAAAATAAATTACTCAAGGGCCAAAGTGTTGTAATCACCAGGGATTGTTTTTAATATACAAAACTACTGGACTGAACTTGAGTTATCTCAAACTAAAACCTATACTTCAGTTTTGGGTGAGTACCATGTAAAAGAATAACTTGCTGGCTTCCTATGAGGTTTTTCTCAGCAACTGTAACGGCGAGAATTCATGCTAGATTTTGAGGGTAATTTAGGGTAATTTAGTAAAGCCTGTTCACTGAGCCTGGTGAATATGGTGAACCTATGTTCATTTTGAATACCCAGTTATGTTGCACATGATTGAAGTAAACAGCTCTACCTTATTCACTAACCTGAGTGATTAACCCCCTCCCTTTGCAATTTGACTCATGCCTGTAAAGACGTTCTTCTATTGGAGATGATTCCCCCTTTATTTGCTTCATCTTCATTATGGAAGATCCTTTGGAGGAGTGTGGCAGCATTATTTGGCTTTTTAATGGTCACAGCATTGGTTGAACTGAAACTGTTGGGGCAGACATGTATCCATTGTGGTTTATTGAGATTGTAGTCCATCACAGGAGTGAGCTTGGAGCAGTGACTTCTTTACATCACACACAGGGACCATGGAGAACAAAAGTAGCCACCCTCCAGAAGGAAGGACAGTGTCAGCATGAATTCATGGATGATTTGAGGATCTATATCTGAGTGATACACAAATAAGATACTATTTTTAATAGTTAAGGTACTTGAATGCCATTTTAAGATTAACTCCTAAGTTTAGTTCCACTTTAAAGCAACAATTTTCTAGGGTATTCAGTGGAAACAAGTGTAAAAGGTGTTTCACACTCTCATTTGGGTGGGTTGAAGATGTTGAACAATTTACTGAATTGATTTGACAGATGAGAGATAAGCCTTTGCTGCTTAGTGAAGTAATCTCTACTGATTGATGTAATTGTGTATGACTGTGTTATATATGTCTTGTTATAATTGGTCAATATTAACATGATTTGTTGTACTCTTTTCTTTTTTTAGGAACATTACAATACATGGCACCGGAGATTATAGATAAAGGGCCCAGAGGATACGGAGCTCCTGCTGATATTTGGTCTCTTGGCTGTACAATCATTGAAATGGCAACTGGAAGGCCCCCATTCCATGAGCTGGGGGAACCCCAGGCTGCAATGTTTAAGGTAAAGTTTCAGCCTAATAACTGTCATGTCCTTGTTTATGGTTTTATATAAAAATGACTGCATATTTCCTATTCCTTTAGGGCTCTTTAAAGCCCAGCATTAGCAATTTGTTTTAGTTTTGGATAGAATAGGGGAAGCATTAGAACGTCTATCAGACTTTTATGTTTTTTTATTTTTGGAAAATTTTCACTCACTTCACTAGGGAACAATGGGTGTCACCAGAACAGGAAGGAAGCGGAAATCTTCCCAACATGGATATACAGACAGCAATAAAAACCCAGTAATTAAATGCACTTTTTGAATGAGAGCAGTGTAAGCTCCTGAATCTGACCTGCTATCTGCCCTTTGCAATCCAGGTACAGCAGGGTGGGTGTGAGAGAAAAAAAGTAGTAAAAGGAGCCAATCAGTTCATGAGCTGACAAGATGCATGCTGATAGGAAGGATTAGCAGAATGACAGAGAGATGAGCTGATTTAGTATTTTATGATTTACTGGGCTATTCATTTTTAACTTCTTTTTTTCTAACTGAAGTTCTGCATTAAAGTGTATGTAAACTAAAAATGTTAGTATATTGCAGCCTTCCAGACCTTAGCTGTGCTACCTGTGTTAGTTTCATTTTTAGGCCTTTGTTTTCCATTTATTTTCACCTGGCGATCTGGCCAGTAACACATTTCCTCTCCCAGGGTGACAACGCTTACTCTACTACCCTGTTTCCCTGAAAATAAGACCTACCCCGAAAATAAGACCTAGTACTATTTTTGGGAATTGCTAAAATATAAGACCTACCCCGAAAATAAGACCTAGTTGTGACCATTGCCAGGGCCGGTGGTGGCATAAGGGGGGAACCTGAAGAGCCGCGGGAGAGAATCAGTGGTGCAAATGAAGCCAGTACTAGAGGAAGCGAGTCGGCAGCACATGGAGCAGAGCCGCATAAGCCAATGCCTCCTCTATAGCGCCGACTCCTGTCACAGGCGGAGTGATACCAAATGCACTCCGCCTGTGAGGAATCCATAGTGAAAGCACTCTTGGAAAGGTATGGCACCCCTGATTGCCCTGATCACCCTATTCTTAACTTTGCCATTTTGGATTATTTAATTTGGATTTGCATTAACTTTAGATTGTTATAAATTAAAAAAAAAAAAAATAAGACCTACCCCGAAAATAAGACCTAGTGTGTTTTTTTGAGCCAAAAAAAATATAAGACAGTGTCTTATTTTCGGGGAAACACGGTACATCTATGGAGAAGCATTGGTTTTCATCCTAGGACATGAATTGTGTTAGGACTACAGCACAGCTCCTCCTCATCACCACAACATAGAGGGAGGTTTGCTAACCCTAATGCTGATAACACTGCAGAGTGAACAGGACCCAGGAAAGCACAGGATTTTGGGCAGGATCAACAGTTATTTTATTTTTTTTCATATTTAACAAAATTCTTTTACTGGTAAATTTAACTGACCAAAAGTTAGCAAATAAGAAAAGTTCATATAGTACGTGGGAGCAGGTACCAAGATAGTAGAATGCCTCCAAGTAAGCTGGTTAAGCTTTGGTACATATATAGCCTATAACACTATTATCTAGTCGTAGGTGCAGTGCCACTGTAAACAATTCTCCTTTCCCTTTGAAATGCAATTCTTGCAAAGTGAGATACAAGAGAAAAGTGAAAGTAGAAGCAGCAACATTTGTAAATTTAGTTGGCTCTGGAGTTGTTAAATCCTTCCGACTTCTAACTGTATGTCAAGGTTTTCAGGAAAAGATACATTTATCAGCGGTGACAGAATGTGGATTGTATGAGTTCTCCTTCTTACACACTGATAATTCATTTCCCTGCTTAGTCTTCCTGTGTTATGTGGAAAAGTGCAGATGATTCTCTGCTTCTTCTTTATTCTGTTATCTAAATTCTGTTTAAACAACACTCTTACAGTTAAAGGAAACCTGTCATAAGAGAAACATGTTGGCTGTCAATGCTGACTTCTCCATCTGAAAATGCTAGTTGTCTGGCTGTCATTCTGACCTAGGCATTCAGATTATAGCCAAGAAAAAACCTAGATGAGTACTAATGACTGTTTTTGGCTTGATCTGCATACTTGTACTACTTCCGTGACTCAAAGTATTGAAGACAGAGGATCGGCCTAATAGCAAGGCAGTTAGTATATTTATAGGGAGGTCAGAAATGGCAGCCCTTATTTTCCTGTTAACTTTACAATAAGGCCTAGTTCATACTAGCACATTGCAGTAACGCACGCCACGTGTTTTGGTGTGCTACGGTGCCATTCCTTTTTGAATACCACCCAAATGCCCTAAGGCAATGCACCTGCAGGGTCAGGTGTAGTTATAGCTGTGCTGGGGTGCATTGGCAGCCTATTCAGCCCATTCAAACGGGCTACCCTCACACTGGGTGGAGACCTGAATAGAGCACTTCAACACATGATGTAAAACAAATCATAGACATATGAAGCAGGCATAAGGCATCTTAACCACTACAGCCATTCTTAGTATATTTTATTTCCTGGTCAAATGAAATATCAGGAAAATACTGCATTATGGCCACTAGATGGAGCTGTGGAGTATAGAAAAAAAAAGTATACTTTTCCTATGCTGCTCAGCTTCATCTAGTCGCCATAATGATATATTTACCTAATATTACATTTGACCTTAAAAGAAAATGTACTAAGAACATTTGTTTTTGCACAGAACTAATGAACATGCAGTTTCACAGGATGGATGGTTCTGCTAGTTTTTTTTATATAAATACACCCCCTAGCGTTGATCAGATTGTACATTTTACAACTTTTATAACAATACATTTACTTTCCTATGGCTAGATCATCTTTTTTATTTGTTACAGGTTGGCATGTTTAAAATCCACCCAGAAATTCCTGAGTCCCTGTCTGGAGAAGCCAGAGCCTTCATATTGCTATGTTTTGAGCCTGATCCAGTAAAGCGTGCCACGGTTGCAGACTTGCTCAGAGACTTCTTCCTCAAACAAGCCAATAAAGGCAAGAAAAGTAAAATTGCCTATAAGCCCTCAGGTAAGCATGTAGTATTATTGGATCCATGTGTAGTGGAGCGCCCTCTGTTGTCTCTCTTAGGAGTTTACATGTGAATGATTCAGAATGAGTTGAATCCTTTCTATAATGTAAAGCATGGGCATAATAACTGACATGTTATACATTGTTATTGAGACACTTTCAAAGCCGAACCCTGACTTATTTTCTTATATTCTTTCTCTAACACACAATTTGCTGAGCAGCTAACATCACATCCTATCACCTTTTTATCCTGTACAATCTCCATGCATAAATCCATCCACATCATTTACTGCCCCCGAAGGAGCTCACAGTCCAGTATCACTATCACTCTCTTATACACATTAGGGGAAGCCAATTAAACTACTGGTATGTTTTGGATTGTGAGAGGAAATCGGAGCATCTGGAGGAAATCGGCACAGATACAGGAAGAACTTATGCACTCTGAGGTTTTCAAAAATAAGAATAAGAGCATTGGTATGGAACGTAGGTGCATGACTTTGACTGGGTTACTGAGCTTCACTACTTTTAGCAAGGTGTTATTACAAATTATTAAATACATCTTATCAGTATGGATGCACCTATACAGGTTTTTCAGTATCGAATACGAGTACCGATATTGGATGGATGGATTCCAAGTGACCGAGGGAGCATGGAGCCGGCTTCCTGGCCAATCGGGAAGCCAGGCGGCGTGTAATGACTCACCGCCCAGCTTCCTGATAACGGACGTTACGGTATCGGGAGCATTACTCGTACTCGTCCAAATACTCGGTATTGGTGCATACTTATTGGTGCATCCCTACTTATCAGCATAGCATTTCAAGTTGTTTGCATTGTGTAAATTTAGTCCTCATTGCAGGCTTGGTACTACTGTTACGTGTCACATGTCTGAGTTGTCCAACAATTCTTCCATCATGTCAATCTCTCAACACCACAGTCATATATCATTACTCTTCTGTGGTCATAGTCCCCCATAGTCTCCTAGAACTCTCAGCACTGGGGCTCTTCCGGTTGTGTACTCTTGCTGCCCTGCCCAGTGGGTTTATTTATTTTTTTAAACAAAGTTGCAATGTCACTGTGATCATTTTTAGGTAGAATGTTGCACCCTGCACAGCTAATTAGTGTAATTACCCCTGAACAGTGCTCAGGTAGCAACTGTGTTCCAGGCATGACTGAGCTTTAGATAAGTCTCAAGTAATTAAATATTTCAGATTATTAAAAGTCACTCAGCAGACTTTTGCAAACCAAGTTGGGATTATTTTTAGATAATATATAGATCTCTGATGGTCAATTGTTATGAAACTGCAAATGCCACTCACAAGTAATTTCTGTTTGGTTGCTTTGGGTTGATGTACAATTGTTTAGAATAAATTCAAATTATTAATGCATAGTTTTTATTGTGCTGTGTACGTAAATGGCTTCATAGAACAGTGTAGAGAAGAGAACTTTCATCCAAGGGCCATAGCTACAACCACAGCAGACCATTTGATTTCTGTGTGGCCCAGTGCACTAGGAGCTAAAGATTACCATGATGTATGGTGATCCATCCAGGCAACAGTAGAATGTAACAAATAACTGGTGTGCCTCCTGGCCTCTTTAGGGGTGCCTCAACATGTTGTGGTAGTGGGACTGTGATGTGAAGGGGGGTCTTGATGTAAAACGGGATTTCTGATGTGAAAGGGGGGACTCTGATATGAAAGGGGGGCTTCTGATATGAAAGGAGGGACTCTGATGTGAAGGGAGGACTCTAATCTCAAAAGGGGGCTTCTGATGTGAAAGGGGGGGGCCCTGATATGAGAGGGGGGCTCCTGATGTGAAGGGGGGCTCCTGATGTGAAAGGGAGCTACTGATATGAAGGGGTGGCCAGAAGAAAAAACAGACTTAAGAACACTTATTTTTGTCCTATTCTCACAACAGCTGGTTAATTTATCGAGAATGAATGTACACGCAGTTTCGCTGGATGAATAGCAATGCACTTTTCCTTTCTAAATAGACCCCAATGTGTCTTGACATAGCTTTGGAACAAAGTTAAAAAGGGTTGTACATTCTGTGATAGAATATATACCCTCCCTTGAGCTATCCTGGTGTGCTTGTGACATTCATTTGCTTTGGAATTTGTGAATAATGGTGCCATCTGTTCAGCCTTCATGTCAGCAGCCATCTTGATTGGTGTCTATACACTAAACGGAGTGCACGGAATCTGTAACTTACTAAAACGTGGAATCATTGTTACAGATTACAGCCGCAGCACATCTCTACCAATACCAGTGCCAGGGGAGCTAGCAGGTAGCAGCAGCAGTGAACATGGATCAGTATCGCCCGACTCTGATGCAAAGCATGACATATTCTTTGATAAGGCAAAAAGATCCATTTCTGAAACTCCTTCTAGCAAAGCCCCAACTACCAATATACTAAGGTTAGTATTTTCTTATTCCAAGCTGTGATCTTTCCTAGTGCCTGGTCAACAGAGCTGGACCGGTTTGAGTTCTTCCAGAAGTCAGCAACATCGAGGTAAAGGGCGGCTCTTTGTGGTCAAATCACTCATAACAGGCAATTGAAATGAGAGATTATCTGTCATCCAGCCCCTCATATTTCCTAGCCAGGCCTGATCTTTATGTCTAGCAGTGCATATAGTGAGCAGTAGTGATGAGGCTGGGCTTGGTGCAAACCCAGTTCGTCTGCGTTTGGCCAATCATGCTCAAAAATTACCACCTCCTCCTCCTCCCAACCCAATTAGTTGTTGGGAGGCACATGTCACAAAGGGGCAGGCAATGCCCCCATCACAATTGCTGCCAATGATTGGCTCGGGAGGAGTGGCGGTCAGAGTTTTGAGTGGGAAAACTGGGTTTGCACTACGGATGCACCAATATCGATTTTTCGGTATCCAGTAAGAGTAACGATATTTATCTTTCCCGGCCAATCAGGAAGCCGAGTGCCGTGTCATTACCCGCCGCCCAGCTTTGTAATTGCCCGGAAAGCAGGTTCCATGCTGTTTGACTGGCTCGATGCTGATTGGCCGGGATGCCAGCTCATGTTCTCTTGGGGCACTACCGGTGAGAGGACATCTCCCTCTGAGCGGAAGTATGGAACTTACTTGGGGTAAGTATCGGAGCTTTTGGGCGAGTACTAGTATTGGTATCAATGCATCCCTAGTTTGCACCAAGCTCAGTCTCATCTCTAGTGAGAAGAACTGTTACTGCTTTGGAAAATTAAAGTGATCCCCCATCCGCACCAGCAGCAGCAGCAGATGTTTCTTGCACTATACAGTCATTGCAAATGGTGTTTAAATGTTTGCATTCACTTTGTAAAATCTAGCTATGCGTGTACCTTGACTCTGCAGCACTTTAATTCTTTTAGCTGTAAACCACTGTACTGCGATCGCAGTAAAAACAGCAAGACAGTCAAAAGCGTTAATTACATGACAATATGAAATACAAGAGACAAATAATAAAGCTAATCTCTATACAGATATAAAAGACACATTAATGCAGCTCATACATCATTACATTTTTTTAATGCAAGCAGAGTAAGTAGCTGAATTTGACTCGGTTTTAGTTTCCTGCAATCTCCTACACAGCAGGACTCAGACTAGGGGAGGAAAAATCAATACAAGGAGCCAATCAGTTGTGTTGCTGTGCTCAGGTGCTAACAAGGAACAGTACAGATATGAACACAAAAAAGCGCCAAAAAGGACTACTCCGCCAGTATGGACCAATATAAGCACAAGTGTAATCAGAAACAAGTCTGTTAAAAAATATATAAATAATAAAAAGCACGTGTGTAGAAAGGTCTGCAGGATGCTGCCCCCAAACCAGCCAGGGAGACCGCAAAATCTAGGGAAAAAAACACAAACAGGGGGCGCCTTTCCTGGTGCAGACAAATTTATTAAGATCAGGATCAAAGGTAGATAAAAAACATACTCACAAAATTCAGCATGATAGTGATATAAAAAGTAAGTCCATGGACCCAATAGAAAGTCTATGGAAGCTGCACAATCGTGTCTATGTGTCAGCAGAGGAGACTGTGTGATGACGCGTTTCCGGGGTCACGCCCCCTTCATCAGATCTGATCAGATGAACTACTGATCAGATCTGATGAAGGGGGCGTGACCCCGGAAACGCGTCATCACACAGTCTCCTCTGCTGACACATAGACACGATTGTGCAGCTTCCATAGACTTTCTATTGGGTCCATGGACTTACTTTTTATATCACTATCATGCTGAATTTTGTGAGTATGTTTTTTATCTACCTTTGATCCTGATCTTAATAAATTTGTCTGCACCAGGAAAGGCGCCCCCTGTTTGTGTTTTTTTCGCTAACAAGGAACATACTGATAGTAGGAAAGAGCAGAGTGACAGAAAGATGAGCGCCTCAGTCTGCTGCTTCTCCATTCACAGTCCAGCCACAGGCTGGGGGTAGGACAACACCTGTAAATGTTACTTAAAGTGACATTAAAGCATAGGTTTTTTTTTTCCCTCCCCCCAAAGTTAATGTCAGCACTTACCTTAAATGATGTCTCTTAATCAGATCGCATTCTTCTTTCCTATCGTTTCCATCTGTCCCTCCAGCGCTGCTGCGGGTCTCCGATCCATCGCTGACTCCTCTGTGCTTGCTGGCACTTCCTGTCCCCCTGGTGTCTGCATGCGGGTGCACGCATCCATATTATTATTCTTATTATTACATAGTATTTATATAGCGCCAACAGTTTGCGCAGAGCTTTACAATATAAGGAAGACATTACAATCACAATACAATTCAAGACAAGATGGTAAGGAGGGCCCTGCCCCTGGGGGCTTATAATTTAAAAGGGGAGGGGGAAATGATACATGAGGCGGTAGCTGTGTGGGGATGAATTGTTTGAGAACGTGATGGTTGAGGTGGGATAGACTTACCTTGTGTCTCTCCTCATCTCCTGGCCTAAAATCTGAACTGCGCATTAGCACGCCCCAGGATCCTTTGCGGCCACCCGGGACTTTTCAGCGCGCGGTGAAGACCTGTTTGAAAGGGTTTTTGTTTTGTTTTTTACGTTTTTGCATATATCTACTGCTTACTAGCAGTAGATATATGCAAAAAAAACTGAGGGTTTAATAACCCTTTAACTGCAGCAAAAAAACAATCAGGTCTCCTGTGCTGCTTGACAGAGCTCTGCTGTGTGGTAGAGCTGTGTAAATCTCAGGACTGGATGATCTGGATCTATGTATTTAGCAGATTTCCTAGCGTTCAGCTTTAAGTGAACCCGACATCATGAATTTGAATAATGCATATCGTTGATATTGAATGTATATTATTTGACTGTTCCTGTTACTTTCTTCATGTTGACAATCAGTTTAGCATTCTGCTACAGCGAAAAATGAACGCGCTTATGAACAAAGTTACATGACGCCAGTGAAATGAACTGTTTATATGTTGTCATTGTTCATGTTGTTTATTATAAAGTGTGCCGGATGATGGGTCAGCGTCAGAAGATAGAAGTACTCCTCCATCTCCAGATGAGAGGGACTCTGGATTGTTCCTTCTGAGAAAGGACAGTGAACGCCGTGCTATACTTTACAAAATCCTGAAGGAAGAGCAGAATAAAGTCTCATCAAATCTGCAGGAATGTCTCAATCAGGTAAAAACTGTCTCTGTCCAGACGCGTAACTAGAAGTTATTGTCACACTCACATTGTAGAACGCATGTTTTTCTTTTCACATCCATTTTCATTGCAATCCCCGCACAACGATCTGCCCCATACAATACAGCCAGACACGCCCCCTCCACTATTCAGCTCAAAGCTCCGCCACCTTTATGCTGATCAATGAGCTCCCATGTCAGTATCTGCATAATAAGTAGCACAGAACCCCACCCAGCTACAGAATGGGAGCTGTTGATTGGAAGACGGGCGGAGCAGTGCAGAGTGGGTCTCCGAGCATCGTACAGAGTGTGAGATCACTTCTTCCTTTCTGCCCCCCCAAGTGGCGGAATGCTAAGGCCCAGTCGCATATGCGACCGCTGTGACCCTGGTAGTTCCGCCAGTGTATCTGTCTGTATCTCTATGTTCTCTAACTAGTATCCTCAGAAATGGATTGGAAATAGCAGCCTGCAGGAAAGGTTTCTGGTGAACTAAACTCTGAGCAGTGTAGATAGAAGCCCTCCGATGTAAAGGTACAGTGAAGCTGGCCATGGGATGAACAAGACAAAACCACTTGTTTTCCTTATCCATGCTAAACAGTGTGGATGGGGAATCTGCCCTGCTGGCTTTTCAAGCAGCCATGGGGGTGCTGGTGATTGATTTTTGAAATGGTAATGGAAGTTGATTGGCTGCAGTCATTGTTTGGCTGACAATCTTCCACCAACCTCCTTGATTTTTCAGTTGAAGTTGTTCAAGCCAGGTGGGGCCAACAGGGCCAACCACGATTGAATTTCAGATTTCAAGCCCTGTAGGGCCAGCTTAAGTAGAGGCTTCCAGTGGCGTAACTAGATCTAAATCCCAGGGCCTCATAGCAAAATTTTGTATGGGCCCCCCTGCCTAAACCACGACTCCCCCCCTCCCCCCCCCAGTTTTGTCCACCCTGTGTGAATGAGGCCTAACACTTTACTTTAATACTGACACACCAATGAAGGCTGCGGAGAGGGGATTATAATTTGTAAGTCCACTTTCCCCAGGTTCACTGGTGTGGCAGTACTATTTTAAGGTTTAATAAATTGCCACACCAAAGAAGGATGACCCACTTTCACCTGTTTATATGGTATGGTAGTGTAAATATAACATAAAATAACAGTGCCCCACCATTATAAATCCCAGCAATACATTATAAAGCTATCCCAAGTGGCAACAGGCTATAGAGGACTACAAATCCCAGCAAAATATTATACAGCAATGCAGAATAATAAAAAGCTACATACTCTGCGCTGCTCCAGGGTGCTGGCCTGATTGTCTCCAGCAGGGGGTCTCAGGTGGGCTGTGCAGGGTCCTATGAGGACTGTGGGTGGGGTATCAGAAGGGCTTTGGGGGGCCTCAGGAGGGCTGAGCAGGGGTCTCAGAAGGGCTCCTCTGTGCTCTCTTCCATGAAGTATTGGAAATCCACAGCCCCAGAGCCATGCGGATCGCCAATAGAAAGATGAGCACTGCTCACTGCTGCCCAGGAAAACGTTACAGGCTCTTTGTGCTGGCTGGGCTCGGTGTGCTATGGGGGAAGGGGACAAGCAGTGTATAAGCGGTGCAGGAAGCAGTGTTTTGGTTGGGGGTGCATTCCCTGGGGCACCCTCTTCTCCACCGGTGCCGGAATGCACTGGATCGCATCCCAGCCGGCTCACTGCGTTAAGGGGTGGGAGGGGGCGTGGTGCTGCATTGAAGTCAATGGCACCGCAGCCACGACCATGGCACATCAATGCCTGCATTCTGGTGCGGTCAGAAAAAATAGTGCATCATGCATTAATGTGCTATGCGTTTGGGTGCGGGCGATCGCACTGTGGCCGGGGGTGGGGCGTGGCTGCGGTGCCATTGACTTCAATGCACCGCCACGCCCCTGAACTCAGGGAGCCGGCCAGGATGCGATCCAGTGTGTTCTGGCTCCAAATCGGGCCGGAACACACTGTTTGTGGTGTGAACTAGCCCTGAAGGTATTCTTAAAGCTGAACGCCAGTTATACTTATGAAATGAATCTTGCACTGCCGACACCCTGCAAGGTTTAACTGCTTGTTTAGTTTAGAGGGTGATGATTGAGGTGTTACACCTACCTTACCTCGCCTTACTTACCTTCTCGCTCTTGGTTGAATTATCTGCTGATTTCAACTGGTCAGGCTCGGTATGTGGGGGATGGAGGTGGTACCGCTGCTGCTGAGTTCTGCTGATCGGGCTCTGTATGCGGAAGGTGGAGGCAGTACTGCCGCCGCTGAGCTCTGCTGGCCAAGCTCGGTGTGGGAGGTGGAGGCAGTACCGCCGCTGCTGAGTTCTGCTGATCGGGCTCTGTATGCGGGAGGTGGAGTCAGTACTGCCGCCGCTGAGCTCTGCTGGCCAGGCTCGGTGTGTGGGAGTTGGAGGCAGTACTGCCGCCATTGAGTTTTGCTGGCCAGGCTCGGTGTGGGAGGTGGAGGCAGTACCGCCGCTGCTGAGTTCTGCTGATCGGGCTCTGTATGCGGGAGGTGGAGTCAGTACTGCCGCCGCTGAGCTCTGCTGGCCAGGCTCGGTGTGTGGGAGTTGGAGGCAGTACTGCCGCCATTGAGTTCTGCTGGCCAGGCTCGGTGTGTGGGAGGTGGAGGCAGTACTGCCGCCATTGAGTTCTGCTGGCCAGGCTCGGTGTGTGGGAGGTGGAGGCAGTACTGCCGCCATTGAGTTTTGCTGGCCAGGCTCGGTGTGGGAGGTGGAGGCAGTACCGCCGCTGTTGAGTTCTGCTGGCCAGGATCAGTGTGCGGGTGGTGGGGAAAGTGAAGTACCTCAGCCCTGCTCCAGACCGGGCCCCCCTTCTGTCCTGGGCCCCATAGGGGCCGCATAGGTCGCTATGGTGGTAGTTCAGCCACTGGAGGCTTCCATGGATAGTGGCATCGTTGTGGTCAGCCTGAATAAGCCATTGATCAATTTATGACAAAGACAGGATTCTAAATATATTGCATTCCTTGTGCTACTTCTGTCTCCCTAAACTGTTATGGACTGTTAGAAACGAAAACATTTCTATGTATTTAAGAAGCACCATGTCTGTTTTGCAGAGCTCAGAAGATGTGCAGCTCTCAGACACCCACATCAAACAGATTATCAGTATTCTGAGAGACTTCATCCGCTCCCCAGAGCACAGGGTCATGGCCTCCACAATCTCCAAACTAAAAGTGGACTTGGACTTTGACAGCACGTCTATCAATCAAATCCAATTGGCCTTGTTTGGGTTTCAAGATGCAGTAAGTTCTGAATTAGTGTAAGCCATATTGACTCAGATAATAACTGTGCAAAGGTCTGCAATACCCAATGCCAACCAATCTGACTTTACACTACTGAAGAGTACATCTTCATTGGTTGCCTTGTGCTACCACACACTGTAAGACCAACAGAATCTCAAACTTCTGTCAACATGTATAGAAATGGTATTTGTTTTTGCTTCTCTTTGTAAGTGAGAAAACACTAACAGCTTTTCAGAAACCATATCAACTAGTGGTTTTTATTGTAAAACGTAGAATGATCAAGTTAATGAAATTTGAAACTTGGGATCCAGCTAGCATAGGGAGGGTATTTAGTTATTTTAAAGAAGAACTCCAGGAAAAAAAAAAATGAATTAACCCTTGCATTGGGGCTAGCCCCACACTAGCTCATTTGTGCCTAGGTGCTAAAAAAAAAAGTTATACCCACCAGACCAACTGAGCCGGCTTGTTCTTAGAGGGGTGTCTAGAACGTCTTTTCCCCTCTGCCGCAGCTGTCTAAGGATCCTGGTATCATCACGCTCTATACATTGTGCATAGACTGTGTTTAGACGTGAGGATGCCGTGGAGCAGTCCAATCTGTGCAGCGGAGAAGACACACTTCAGTGATCACAGAAGCAGGGAGCCGGCTCAGATGGTCTGGTGTGTATAACTTTTTTTATCACCTAGACAAGAACAATCCCTGTAAGGGTTAAGAAATCGTTTAACCGGAGTTCTGCTTTTATCCACATGTGTTTACCATTTTAATAATATGGTAGATCCCTTCGCACGCCTGACCGGAAAACCCCAAAGAGCAGGGGCAGTGGCGTTGGGGTGCTGGAGCGAGAAACTGTAACTGGTAGAAAGTCACTCCCACTCCAGAAACTTTTGTAGTCAATCTTCTGTATTGACCATCAAAGTGTCACATAACTTTAGCTTTCGAGACTGTCTGGTCTCTTCTTCAGGCAAAACTAAAGTGTGCCATTTTAATAACCCCCAAAATCCTCAACAACTAAACCAATATTGTTATTGTAGAAGTTCTATAAATGTACAGTACTAGTCTGTATGCTACTGTAATTATTGGATGCTTTTAGGAACAGCTGTACAACTAACAGTGATCTGCTGTTTCGCTATCCTACCAGGTTAATAAAGTCTTAAGGAATCACTTGATCCGGCCACACTGGATGTTTGCTATGGATAATATCATTCGTCGGGCAGTGCAGGCAGCTGTCACCATTCTCATTCCTGGTAAGATGATTGAACCTTTTGCTGACAGAGGAGGTGTGATGGAGTGATTCTAAAAGATGGTTTCTCATCAGCTGTTATGGGTTTGCCTGCTGTCATTGTTTTTGTATGACCTTGTTGGAAGACAGGTTATAAAAAAAGTGTTGTTTTTTTCCAAAAGTGGATTCATTTTCAGTAAAGTATTTTAAAGCAGAATTTGGGGTAAACATTTTCTTAACCCTTGCAGTGGTGCTACCCCTGCACTGCAAGGGTTAAGCGCTCGTTTTTGTCTAGGTGCAAAAATAACCAAGTTATACTCTCCTGAACCTCGCAGTGCTGTGACAGCACTTCCTCCAGCCTGTGTGCTCCTCCACTGCAGCGACCATTGTCCCTCAGCATACCACTTTATTGGACATGATGACTCCAGGACCTGGGAACGTTGCAGTGGAGGGGAAGAGAGGCTCCAGGGACTGGTCTAAGAGCAAGGCGGCTCATAGGATCAGGTCATTATAACTTTGTTATTTTTGCACTTAGACAAAAACGAGCACCACTGAAGGGTTAAGAATTTTACCCAGAGTTCTGCTTTAACAAATCTATTTTATTATAATTGTTTTACATTACAAAGAAAACATTGCACTCATTGTTTCCTAACTTCTCTTTATGGAGGCATGCTGGCGGTAAGCACAGCTGTGGCTATAAGTTTGGAAATGTGTTCTGCTTGTGATAATCAGGCCTGCACTCAGGGGTGTCCCAGACGTGGTGCCACCCAGTGCGGCCACCAGGTGACACCCCTCTGGGACGTCATTATGCATGCACATGATAACTTCACGCACACTTACCTGCTGGCGGCCATCTAGGTGACAGACAAAGATAGGAGGGGACGTTCACCCGGCGGGTCCCCTCTTCTCTCATGCAACTGTTGGGTTCTTGGTCCATGACTAAGTGCCCAACTTTTCAGAGGAGGTGATGCCAAAATGACTTAGTCATTTTGGTATCACCCCTCCAATGGTGTCACCCAGAGCGGGCTCCCCCCCTTATGATGCCACTGCCTGGAACGACCAGCTCCATGGGTTGTGTCAGACTTTGTTAGTTGGGATCATACCAGAGAATTGTTTGAAACTGTACAGTCAAATGTTTTCACAATAAGGATGAGCTTGTTATTATTGCTAAGTATGGAATATGAACATGTAACATTTTAGATTTACAGATGTAAAAATGTATTTTCTTTAGATAAATATGTGGAAAAGCATACTTCTTACTAAAGTTTCTCTTTAAGAAGTATATTATTAAGTAAAAAGCAATAACTTTATAAAACTGTGTCTGGTGGAAATCATTGTAAAATTGAATGTGTATTTTGGTGATGCACAGAGCTCAGAACACATTTGGGACCAGTGTCCGAGAGTGAAGGAGTGGACAAGGAAGTAGAAGATGAAGAATACCCACTGGTACAACAGAACAACACAGAGGAGGTTGTCCATACATCAGAGGTCAGCACCATCAGCTCGGTGGTTTCACATGACATCCAAAGCCAACATTTAAACCTCCAGCTTGGAAAACTCAGACAAGAGACCAACAGGTATTATTATTAGAAGTTGCACTGCACCAGTTTTACACATGTATCTACCTAGACCTGCTTGTTTGATTTATTCATTTAGGTTGTTAGACAAATAACTTATTGGTGGTAAAGTGAACCCACTTTCTAAGGTAACAACAGTGTAGAATTGCAGACATTGGCTGTAGATGGTACCTTCCGCTCAAGTTGGGATTAAGCCCTTCCCCCTTCCCATGCTAAATTTGCTTCTGTCATTCAGCTGTCAAGTGCCAGAGCCTCAACCATGGAAATTCTTTCATTTTATGGCTTTTTTGAAGGGGTGGCCCAAAGGAAACGGTTACAGTGCCAACAGATATAGAGCATGGTTTCAGGATCACCAATATCCTACGAAACCATTTTATACCAGACAGACTCTTCTCCTAGTAATTTAGCTAATCCAACCTCAACTAAACTACGAACCTTTGATCAGCTTAACAACAAATATGGAATACCCATCAGATTTCTACTATTCATATGTACAAATTACACATGAAATCTCTGTACACTAACCCAACCTATACCTTGGAAAACATAGCCCACGGGGAAGCATTGTTGTCATGGCCTGTCCCAACAACTGATTACATAGTACATAATATCATATTTTTTAGCAAAGCCCCAGAATTACTAGAAAATTGTAGCAAACATTATTACAGGTAGCCAGAAAAGACTTCAACCTATATCTCCTGGGCTATCTTCTAAGGCAGTGGTGGCGACATAAGTCCATCAAGTCCAACCTATTGCGTGTATGCATTTATGAGCTGATGTGTGCGTGTATATGAGTCCATGTATGATTTTTCTCTTAGCCATACCTGTACCCCTAAATGTTCTGGTCTCCCAGGAAATCATCCAGGAGTCTCTTGAATGATTCCACACTCTTAGCTGAAATCACTTCCTGTGGCAGCGAGTTCCAGACCTTAACCGCTCTAACTGTGAAGAACCCCTTGCGCCCTGTGTGAAAAAATTTTCCACCAATTTTAGGTTGTGCCCTCTGGTCTTTGTTACAGAGCTGACCGTAAACAGTTTGTTACTGAGGTTGCTGTCACCCTTGAATAGTTTATACATAAAAATCATGCCCCCCCTTAATCTCCTAACCTCTAACGAGAACATATTTAATTTTAACAACCTTGTTTCATAGGTTAGAGCCTCGAACCCTTTAATGAGTTTGGTTGCCCTCTTCTGGACTTTTTCCAGCTCAAGGACATCCTTTCTGAGTATTGGTGACCAAAACTGGACCGCATACTCCAGATGAGGCCGAACCAGTGATCTAGAAAAAAGCAAAATTATAGACTTGTCCCTGCAATACATTCCCTTCTTAATGCAAGACAGGACTCTGCTAGCTTTGTTTACAGCAGCCTGGCACTGCAAGCTGTTCTATATTACGCAGTTTATCAAAGTTCGCCTTCCTGAAGTTTAGACTTCTTGTCCGCCCATTCCCCTTCCCTTTCTTGTAACCAATATTGAAGGCAATCACCTTGTGATCACTATTGCCCAATGTCTCCCCGATTACAACATCCTCAATTAGCTCCGTATTGTTGGTGATGATCAGATCTAGGATTGCATTTTCCCTGGTCGGGACCTCAACCATCTGATCCATAAAATTGTCTTGCAACATATTAAGAAAACGGGCTGCCTTTGACAATTTTGAAGTTCCATTAGCCCAGTTGACATTCGGGTAATTGAAGTCTCCCATTATCACAACATTACCCTCTTTTCCCGCTATTTGTTTAGAGGTCAGGTGGGTAAAAGACATCCGTTCACCACACAAGTTAAGGGTTCGATTTTTGCACAAACGTTTGTACAAAGAATACGGTCAGAACATTCAATACTGGCATCAGAAACTTGCCAATTGTCATTATATAGTTCGTTTTTGCTTTTATGTAACATTCTATTTCGGAATGAATGAAGTTCACGAATGAACACCACACTGACTATTAGAAATTCCTTTGATCGAAAACATTTTTCCAACATTCTCCTTTGAAGATTTTCGTGAACATTGTCATTTTCGTCTGTCGATTGCACCATACTAATTGATAGATATGTGAACTAACCTTCCGAAAACGACTTCTTTCATATGGAATTGTAACTGTGCATACCCTACTTTACAATGTGACTGTGCAATCTCCTTTAAATCTACCAACAACTATGTAGTGCTGGGGCCTGCCTGATTGTATACAAATGCAATGAGTAGTTTAGGTAGGTTCTCATATTAGTTCCGTTTAGTTTAGGTAAATCTAAATGAGATTGTTCAAAGACTGTACAGTAAGATTATAACGTGCATGGAAAATCTTGTTGCCAAATTCCAACAAACATGGCTCCCATGGGATATGCCCGGGTATAGCCATAAAAGCCCTTCACAAATATACCTACTCTATCGTAGGACGACTTGAATCTGCACGTTCCCAGTCAGAGGGACCACAGCACTACTTAAATGGTATCGGTTAATGATAATATTTCTTTTTAAATGATTTATTTCACCAGCCTTGACTATTGTAATGGGAAACAGCAGAAAACCAGTGCAAAGTTATGCTGCAGTTATATATCAACATCTTTGAGCTTCAAATGATGTATGGCTGTACGTTGATATGTATAGATTTGCTTACTTGGTTATGGAAGTCAAATGTCAATGCATAATGTGCTTGTTTATCTCTCTGGGAAAAAATGCCCAACCAATAGTGACATTCTCCAACAATTTAAGTAGAAATTAGATTATGGAAGACTCCCATATGCTACTATCATGAATGACCTAATAGATGAGATGGGTAATTAAGTTCAGATTCCTTTTACTTTTTTTAATTGTTTTATTATTTTTATTGCAGGTTATTAGAAGACCTGATACAGAAGGAACGCGAATACCAGTTTCTGTTAAAACAATGTCTGGAACAAAGGGGTCATGACTTGCATTTACTCCAGATAAAATCAAGCATGGGTAATTGTTTAACCCTTGCTTAATCTTCATCTTTTCTCGCATCTTAAGCTGTGTCACACCGTGTTTTGTTGCACTTTCCCCCATGTACAATATTTAAAAGTTGCCTTAGGAACAATTATTTGTTTCACTTAGAAACCCTATAAATTATTTTAGACAAGGTGAACCCGCACTGTACTTGGTGTTTGCACATATGGCTGCCTAAGACAGATACAGATGCTTTATAAAAAGAAGCAATGGTGTTGCTGTCTAAGCCCTTCCAGCTTCTTTTTCCACAGGATGAGTGTGTCACGGATGCCGGCACAGGTGTCCCCACACAATGTGCAGGTACCCACAACGGCAGACCAAACATGTATGACCACACCAGACAAGGCAATTAAGCTTATTTTTTTTTAAATTAATCTTATATATATATATATATTTTTTTTTTAATTATTATTTATAAGGAGCCAAAACATAACATAATAAGTAATTGCAACCAAAAACTAGGAATAAACCACAGAATACCCTCACAGGGTATAACGGCATGAAAACCTTGGGAGCAGGCAATAGGACTCAAGAACATAAACAGGGAGCAGGGCTCTGGAACATAAACAGGGAGCAGGGCTCTGGAACATAAACAGGGAGCAGGGCTCTGGAACATAAACAGGGAGCAGGGCTCTGGAACATAAGCAGGTAGCAGGGCTCGGGAACATAAGCAGGTAGCAGGGCTCGGGAACATAAACAGGGAGCAGGGCTCGGGAACATAAATTAACAGGACTCGGGAACATAAGCAGGTAACAGGACTCAAGACTGGGGACTCAGGATTCACAATATACTGAGCCATCGTCCTGAATGCAGGGAGGATTTAAATACCCTCCCAGGAAGCACCAGGTGATGGCCAAGTGCTGGCAGCTGGGAGACACCCGCAGGTGAGCACTGGAGCTGCAGGTTCCAGCACCACCCAGTGGTGGTCTGGTACCTAAGAGTTCCCAGCTGCCTGGAGACACCTGCAGGTGAGCACAGGAACTGCAGGGCTTAGCTCCAGCACCATCTGGAGGCACTCTGGATCCTAACAGAGTGTCTAATGCTTTGCCCATGCAGGACAGTTCGATTTAATGCCCATCTTCCCAGAAGCTCACATTTCATTAACAGAAAGCGATAGGCACACAGGACCTTTATGAATGTAAATGTAGTTTATTGATGAAACTAGTATAAGTGTCAGGTGCTTCTGTTAGTACATGTCTGGTTACCATTTCACAAACAAGGAAAATATGATTACAGCTCCTTTAGATCAGTATGATTACATTCATCTGGCTTGTTCCTTAGATAACCCCAGATCTGCATCGTATGTATCAATTGGCATGAACAAAGACCAAGAGCTGGTGGAATGGCTGAGGCAGCAAGGTGCAGCTGATGATGTGATTGAACAGGTATGGCTCTCCATTCTTCACTCTTCATCTTTTTTTATCCAGACATGCAATCATTTATTAGACGCTGAATGTATGTAATTGCTTTTATATTTACATGTGTCATTTTTTCAGTTTGTGGAAGAAGACTACACCCTTTATGATGTTCTGCATGATATCACCAAAGAAGACCTGAAAACCCTTCGACTCAGGTATAACAAGTGATCTTGTGCGTTAGAAAGAAATGTTTCAAAGGCCAACCATCCCCTCTATATGAATGAAATATTATTTAATAGTTAATTCACAAAAAACACAGCTCAGATTCCCGAACTGGCTTGCACTGTATTTGCATCCCAGGTGCAGGAAAACAAGCGCGCCCTCGCCTAAAACAACTAAATCCAGAAAATAGCTGCACTCCAAGGGACTTCATTAAAAAAAATCTTTATTTATGGAGCAAATACACACTATAAAGTTTCTACCCATGTGGGGTCAACACTAACGCGTTTCACTATTTTGGCTTACTCATACACTGTAAGTAAGCCTGAATGGTGAAATGCATTAGAGGTTGAGCATACATGGGGAGGAACTTTACAGTATGTGTTTGCTCCATAAATATAGACTTTTATTTTCTGTGAAAACCCTTGGAATGTGGCTATTATTTAATATGTACTTAGAAATACTCTACATTCTCAAGCAAACTCAGACAAAGATGAACAAATACATGTTTATCACCTTGATATGAATGAGTGCAGTGCACTGTAATCAACGCATTGAACTGTTGCCTTCAAAGCGCACACCAGTAACCACACGGTATCGTGCGCTGCTGATGTAAATGGGCCATTGAAAACCAACTGCCTTCCCATAGCTGTCTCCTGGAGCTCGTCCAGCCTGTTGTTACACCAGCAGGGGAATTTGACGGAATCTGGAGCCGCTGCCCATAGCAACCAATCAGCTTCTTTTTTAATTTTTTTCAGTTAAGCTCTGAAAATGAAACGGAGAAGCTGATTGTTTTCCACTGCTCCAGATTTTGTCTGCTCTGGTTTCACTATATTCCTCTATTATGTTTTCAAGTCATGATTATTATTTTTTTCCCCCATAATATTAATGATACTGTTGAATGTGTTTGTATGTTTTTATCACTATCAGCGGTTTGCCTCTCAGTGAAGTTACAGTAGTTTTAGTGACTCAAAGGGAACAATTGCCTTATCAGTAATTCATTATGATGTCCAGAAACTGATTCTTTTCTTTCTGTCGCAGGGGTGGATCTTTGTGCCGGTTATGGAAAGCTATCTCCAAATACAGAAAGCCAAATAAGATTGAAGCCAACTATTAACCATATAAATACTTTGATGCAGTGAGCTACCTAAACTGTACATTATAGAGAGAAAAACATTCCAGCGTTAAGTTATTTATCTTTTGTATATCACTTGTATAGCTGCTCCTCCACTTTGAATGTTTTTCTTACAAGTAGATGTATTTCAATTCTTTGTACTGTAACATGAAAATATCACATAGGAAGTTTCTATCGTTCTGATGAAAAGACCGTCGAATGTTTGTCATTCTGGATTTTGAAAAGAGGTTTTTGTAAATGAATGTAAAATGTGTAGTTACGTTTTAAAATTGATAATAAGTGACTCTGATTGATGTATGAAAAGTGGGGTGTACACCTGCAGTCCTTGGAGGGGGGTGGCTTCATACTGGCCAGATGTGTGCCATTGTCAGTTCATTCTGTTTAATTACATCTTACATCATTGTCTATTTGCTGCCAATTAGCCAACTCGTAAAACTGAGGATGTCAGGAGTTGTGCACCCCTGACATAAAAATGTGTAAGAACACCTATTGGGGCCCAATAATCCTTTAAAGACGCCTATCACAGCATACCAGCAATGTCACTAGGTGATAGTGGCAGGGCAGCCATCAGAAATTTTGGGGCCCCTTACATGGCTTTAGGCCGGGCCCCCCCACCATGCCGCTGGACGCAGGGCTTAGTGACGCGCTGGACGCAGGGTTTAGTGACGCGCTGGACGCAGGGTTTAGTGACGCGCTGGATACTGGACCCACCTGAGAGTGACCCTGCAGAGCCCACCATAGATGCACAGCCCATCTGAGACTGTCTATGGTGGGCTCTGAAGGTGTCTCAGGTGGGTTGGTCAGGGCTGCATCCCTCCCCTCCTTTCCTTCCTAGCTCCTCTTACCTGCACACATGGCCTCGTCTGCCGCCGGACTGGCCAGAAGTGACGTCACGTCACTATCGTGACATCACGTCACTATCGTGACATCACGTCACTATCGTGACATCACTTCACTATCGTGACATCACTTCACTATCGTGACATCACTTCCGGCCAATCTGACATCAGACGAGCAGCGTCGCTGATGGGGCCCAAGCTTGTCTCAAAGCCGCTGGAGCGGCAATGCTGGGGCGCTGCAAGGGCCAGGCCTCCGCCTCTTTGCCCTTCACCGTCGGCCGATAGTCATGTAAGGGACCCGGGTGGGCCCCCAGGCTGCCGGGGCCCCTTACATGAGTATCGGCCGTACCGCTGATGGCTGCCCTGTATAGTGGACTACATTCTTTGCATTGCCAGAAGTTGTCTTTTTTTTTATATGAAATTTAAAGTATACGTGTTTAAAACAAACACTCAAATGTAATATATTAGTGTGCAGTACTAGAAAAATAAGTGACCTCAGTATCTAACTGTTATTCTTCATAAGCCCTTTTGGGGCTTTTTACTACAAATGCTGACAGTTGATGTGGCATGCTAAAGTTATACACAGAGGTAACACCATGCAGAGCTGTTGATGGAAAGTCAGTGACATACAGGTGAAACTCGAATAATTAGAATATCGTGCACAAGTTCATTTATTTCACTAATGCAACTTAAAAGGTGAAACTAATATATGAGATAGACTCATTACATGCAAAGCAAGATAATTCAAGCCGTGATTTGTCATAATTGTGATGATTATGGCTTACAGCTCATGAAAACCCCATGAGTCTATCTCATATATTAGTTTCACCTTTTAAGTTGCATTCGTGAAATAAATGAACTTGTGCACGATATTCTAATTATTCGAGTTTCACCTGTAAGTCTAGCAGGAAGCTAAGACCAGCACCTTGCACTGACATAGGGGTTGGGTAGTGCTTTAGAAGCAGACTGGGTTTTGGTAGCCTACCAGAAATATCTGACTTTAAGGGCTTGTTCACACCAAATGCAGAGCAGATCTGCATGAGTTTCTGCACACGCAGTGCAGTGTTTTTGATGCTTTCCGGGCCGGTTTTTCTTTTTCGTTTAGAATGGGCTTTTAGTGCGTTCCAGGGCGTTTGCAATGCTTTCCAGAGCAGGTAAAATAGGGCTTGCTGCAGTTATTTTTACATTCTCTGGAACTGAACGCTGCGGTGTGAACTAGAGCCCAAAATATAATTGTAATACATTTGACGCAGTTTTGATCCGGTCTGTAACTGCTCTGCTCCTGGAACGCGTTTGGTGTGAACAAGGCCTAAGTTACCAAAGGGACCAACACTGGCCCCTTCTGATACCGTCCACCCCCCTGTCCATCTACCTTAAAGCCCATTTCCACCATTGTAAGTGATTAGCATTTATGGTGGTAATGTACAGGTGCAGCGATGATGTATATGCGTGAACAGTTACATGACTCACATTGCTGGCTTTCTTCATTTTGTATGGACTTTTTAGTAGGCCTGAGTCCTACAAATTTAAATTTTTCTCCACAGGAAACTCTGACATTGGGGTTGGATTGTAAAGCAGCAGATCCCCTCCCTAAGAGTCATTGTAACAAGATCACTGCACACAAGCTCTGCCTTTCCAGGTCACAATATACTGTTCGGGGCAGGGGTTGCCACTACGAATACTAATGATTAGGGGGGAGAGCTCAGAGAGCGAGTGTTCATTTACTCAGACTGTACAGCACAGAGGCGGCCATTTCAAAAGGAGTCACGAGGAGATGACGAAGTCATCTAACAAAAGTAAGTTTCTGTGTTCATATACAGAAACTGCATATGCCTGCTTTATGGTCACATGTTAAAAAAAATACCTCCACAAAGGTGGAACTGGGCTTCATATTAGAAGAAAAGGCATCACAGTAACTCCCCTTTGCTTGATCATCTGTGCATACTGTACATTTGTAATAAAGGCATTCTATTTGTTTAAATGGTTTCATGTGACTGTCCGTGGAGGCCCGACAATACTTCTGAATATTAGTGAGGTCCTCACGGCGCCATTAATCGCTCCCAGCATTGTCAGCCAGTAGGAGAGTTTCTGCCAACCAGCCACAGAGAGAAAGAGTAATGAGCTGGAGCAGCACCAGAGCTTTGTGGTCATGTGACCGTATAGAAAGCATTTTTAAAAAAGTGTTTAGAAAGCGATTTAGTTCAAAATGTATACAGGGAGGAGCGCAAAGGTGAGTTATTGTGATGCCTTTTCTTCTACCTCAAGTCACATCTGTAGTTCCTGTGTAGCTGTGTGAAGGTCTCATTCACCTACAAAGGTAACTGAGGTCTGATCCACATGAGTGATGTTGATCTCTTGCTGCTTGACGATTCAACAATCAATCTGCTGTGGATTAAAGTGTCATGCCAGCCATAACCTTATTTTTTTTTTTTTTGGTGTAAGCGTGGGGAAGGGTGTTTATTGTGACCCTTTTGGTGGAGACTTCCTGTTCTGGTGTAGACCTTGTCTCTGGGACTGGAGGTGAAGAGGAATCTCTCCAGAAGAGCAAACCTGTGAGAGGTTCTAGCTCTGCCTGTTTCCATCAGAGACAAGTTCTGGCTGGAGAAAGACTTTAAATGGCTGGTAAAACGTGCTTGAATGAATTACATGTATTGTAGCATTGAGGAGTTGGCATGGGAACCAGTGAAGGATGGGAAGGGGTAGGGCCTGGCAGAGGTCTATGATACTAGGTCCCTGGTTGGTTTCGTCCATTCTTCTGTTGTAATAATGCCATAGTCCTAGCTTTTTCTTATATACTTGACAGGTCCACTTTAAACCAGGACCAACACTACACTGGTGGAATGAAAGTAAATGAATAATGTGTAATGTGACTTATTTGTAACAAGCGTTGTTGCAGTATAAGTTTGTGTGTGAAAGGTACCCCACTGCTGTCTTACTGTACAATGACAATTTCTTGTATATGATAGTCATTTCACTGGTAGATACTTGTCCTGACCCTGTAATAGGAATTCTGTACCCCAAAACCTTTACAGGCAGTTCTAAAATGTAGCGGCTGCATTCGTTTGCTTTTTACCTGGTAATCCACCAGTAAGTCTGTTATTTTCAGTGCCTTTTAAGAAGCCAAGCGGACCAGCAAAAGTGGCAGATAGAGGGTTGAATTTAGAGCTCAGAACGGACAGGTTTTATTTGTAAACTTTATCCCTAAGAGGAAAAAAAATGCTAATAAAAACATTGTTTAACCCCTTCATGACCAGCAACGTACAGTGTACATCAGTGGCATCTGGGCTGTTTATACACACTCACGCCGGGACTCTGTTAAAACTTGTAAAGCCGACTGTCGACTTTAGGCCCCGTTCCCACTGCGCGATATGCAAATCGTGCGTTTGTCGCGTGATTTGCATATTGCGCGATATCGCGTTCAAGCTTGCATTGAGCAAGCTTGAATCGCGGCTAAATCGCTCCAAAAAGGGTCCTGCTGTAGCGACACACGACCCGCGACAGCAGGACCCTTTGCCCCATTAAGAAGCATTGGAGCGCGATATCGCGCGGGAATTACCGCGCGATAAATCGCTCAATGTGAACGGGGCTTTACAGTAGAAGTGATTCTGGCGGCTCAGCTGCCACCAGATCACTTCTATGTGGGTGGGTGGCCATCCCGGACTCCGTTGCCCCTCCTACGGGACCGGCTTCTTTGGTGTCGGGGGGAAGCTGGGGAGGAGATGGACGAACCTCTGTTCACCGATCCCCTCCCCGTTCTATGGGACCCGGAAGCAGCGCGTATTGCATCACTTACGGTCCCATAGCTGTCATTGCTGGGCTCCTGAGACACACCTATAAGCTATTGAAGTGCGAACTGCACTTAATTTGTCAAATTAATATTAAATTAAAAAAATATTTCCATTATTTTTACATTTATTTTAAGTACCCTTAAACACACGTCGGGTGCGCCTACGTATGAAAACGACGATCGTGATATACATGTTGGGTATCGCTGTGCACGCTGGAGTGAGAGCAATAATTCTAGGCCCAGTATTTTTGAACTGATGACCAGTGGGGGCTTTTAAAGCGTCTATGGACTTTTTTGGGGGCACTGTACTTTGTCGCCGTTTCATGGACGCATACAATTTTTAACCTGGGCATGTTGGGTATCTATCTACTCGTTGTAACCTCATCTTTTATTGTCTATTTAAAAAATATTTATTGTGTTTTAGGGCATTTACGTGCACTAAATTTGGGGGTTTGAAAAGAAGTTGCGCTAATATCATGCAACGTAAAAAATTTGCAACTACAACCATTTTATTCTATACGGTCTTGGCTTTCAGAAAATATATAATATTGGGGGGGGGTTTTAAGTAATTTTCAGGCCTAAAATGTGGAATATAACGTGTGCAAAAAAGAAAAAAAAAAAGCCTCAGTCATGAAGGGGTTAAAAAGCAGCAGTTTGGATTTAATATGATAGATGTAGTAGATTTTGATGGATTTGACTAAAGGTTCCCACACACCTTGCGATAATCGTACGATAATCACGGGAAATCCTGCGATCGTACGATTATCGCAAGGTGTGTGGAAGGCATGCAGTTTTTACTGTACGGTCGCACGACTTTTATCTTAGGAACATGTTTGAAAACCCACTGAGAATCGTACGATTGTCAGGGGGTGTGTGGCATGTTCGTAAGATAAACGCTGCACGGTAAGGCAGGCACCCCCCCTCGCTACACCACTGGCACAGAGACTGGGGGCCCGTGCCCGTCGGCCGCTGGATACCGATCCGATGCTAACCGGCGGCCGGCAACTGTGCTGGGCCCCCCCAGCCTGAGGCCCCGGTGCGGCCGCACCAGCGGTAGTTCCGCCACTGCAGGGGGAAGTAGCAATCACAGGTTAGAAAAGCTGTCCTTATCACTATTGCTCTCCTTCAACAAGTCAGGGAAAGCCGCATTTCCACACTCCATTACAGTGACAGACTTATGTCTGCAGAGCAACACTTGCATGGTTATGTCCTGCTCGGACACCTTGTGCTGAGCACTCAGATGATACCAGCACAGACTTCCCCTCTAGGAGCAGCTTCAGGCACAGATGATGCTTTTAAGTGTATTCATTTTTCAATCTTGCATACTCCAATTTTGTATTTTTTTAGCGATTGATTTTTGAAATGGATTAATGGTACTGTATGTGAGACGCAGCAACACATGAAAAACAGTTGCTGGACATTCGCACAGTGGGTGCCGCTGTCCCTACCCCTTCAGCCATAATCCCTCAATCAGCTGATCAAAGGCGCCAGTCGGAAGATCTTCAAAAGAACCGAGCCAATGAGCTGCTGGCTCTGTTCAGGTATTTTCACAGTGGCGGCTGTGCGAATACAATGCAAACAGCAGGAGATTCCTTGATCAAAGCTGGTAAGCGGTTATATTTTCCACAGGTTGAATGAAGAAAATATTGGCGTGTATGGCCAGCTTATGGTATAAAGTGAACCAGGTTATAACTGGCCTCCAAACGCGAGCGGGAAATCAGCTTAAAATGTAAACAGCCAGCGATGGCAGTTTACATACATGCGTTCAGGTGGCTGTAGATTACAGTCCATGTACCCATTGCACTCCTGACCGCACGTCTAACAAAGTATCCTGGGTGCTCAGTAGTCGACGGATGGCCACCTTCAAAGTAATGCAGAAAAGAAATAGACACCGGCACTCCAATAGTAAATCGATTACGTCTATTTATTGACGTACATCAAAAGCAAAATAACACACAGGGCGGGCACGGCACGTGGAGCTGCGAACACGCCCGAGCCCATCACTACTGGTGAAGCAGATCTCTGCTTCATCAGCTTCTCTGGGGATCCCTAGGTGACATTAATTGGCTTTTACATGGGGGCTTGTTAGTCCTCTGTGTGATAGCAATAACATTAAAAAAAGTCACATATCAAAAGCAATTAAAAAAACATTTTTTTTAACTCTCCGCCCCTACATACACATGCAAACATGCGTCGGGTGCGCCTACATGCGAAAACGACGACTGCGTCTCATGTTCCATGTCGCTACGAACAGCAGAGTGAAAGCAATACATTTTAGGGCCAATAATTGTCAGTCACGAAGGGGTTAAAGCGTCGGCTATGGTCAATTTTGGGTGTGGTAGTTTTTTGCGATTTCATGGGTGCGCACAATTTTAAAGCGACGTGTGGTGTCTATTTACCTGACATGATCCCATCTTTTATATTTTACCAAAAATGTGGGTAATAATAAATGTTTTATAACATAATAAAGGGAAAACTGTTTTATTAGTACGTTTTTCCTTGCTATAGTAAAAAAATAAAACTCGCAGTGGTGACTAAATACCACCAAAAGAAAGCTCTATCTGTCCCCAAAAACGGAATACAATTCATTTCAGTACAGCGTTGCATGTCGGAATAAACGTCAGCCAAAGTACCGCAGCGCTGAACACTGAAAAATGGCCTGGCCAGGAAGGGGGTGTAAACACCCCGGTCAGCAAGTGGTTAAGGCTTAACTGCTTCCCGCCCAGCGACCATTTATAAATAACCGGATGGGAGCATTCTAGATGTGGGTGGGCGTTTTAAAACGTCCTTCAACGCGTGCACGAGAGGGAAAACTGCCTAAAATGTAAACAGCCGGCGATGGCTGCTGAGACACCCGATCGCTAGTATTTTGTGCGGGGTTGCACCCTCCACTGTGCTTGGTGCGGGCCAGAAACCAGCACAGCGGCTCTGTCACCGGAGGTCAGTACACGGCCACCCTCTGATCTCTCCGTTCTGCGAATTCAGGGAGTGATATATATATAACATCACTTCCGCATGCAGCTGTCATTCCCGGCTACAGAAGCCAGGGAAAAGCTGGTGAAGCAGATCTCTGCTTCGTCAGCTTCTTTGGGGGTCCCTAGGTGACATTAGGGGTCTTAGTGAAGCCGACTGACATTTTCACCTAGTGTCAGGTTACACAGCAGACTGCCTAAGAGCAGAGGCACAGATCCCAAAATAGATACCAAGTGCTCCTATATTTCCACCATAGACTGTCACCGTGTAAAATGATATAGGCACAGAGAGCTGAACACAGATTATACTGACTTGTGTACATGACTGTTGTATCTGCCCCGATTCCATTCTCAGGGGGTTGCTGAGAGCTCAGCACCATATACTGCAGTACTATGCCAATTTGAAGGTGTTTCTAATATGGAAACAGTAACTTTGTTTCACAATCTCCATTTCTAAATGTGTATGACCTATTTATGATCAGACACAATAATACGGTACAATTGCTCTGTATACATTTTGTGGAAATTCTGCATTGACCTAATGTAATAAAAATGGACATGGGAATAAATACAGCAAAAAGAACTCTTTAAGGCCAAATTTTAATGACTGCAGAATGCATACATGGTAAGACACATGATTATCTGTACACACTTAAAAATGGGAGCCTTCCTATAAATAACGGTTCAGTAATGTACTGAGGACAGAATAAGATGCTGTAATAGACACTGGAGTGCCTTTAATGTGTCACCAGAAAAACCTAAGCCAATTGGCAGACTTAAATCTTTCCAACCGCTCACATTAAAATGCTCTACAAGGACTGTCTGCTTCTTATCCCAGTAAGGTGGAAAAGGGTTACATGAAACAACAGTTCCCATTAAAGCGGCGACAGAGTAACAGACAAATAAGTATATGGTATACATGTAGAGGCTGAGAGTGTTAGGGATGTTTAGCTGACAGATTTGTACTTGATCCAGGGGTTTGCACCTCGTACATCAAAAGGTGCTTCGTTATGATAAATGTGATATCCTAACTCCTCCAGAGGGGGTTCAGGGTCAGTGGTAGCAAACTGAGCAGCTTCTTCGATTTCCTTCCGCACTTCTACATCAATTTCCTGCAAATTAACAGGTTGATTAGCCAGCAGAAGCCATTATTTTCAAATCTTTCCAGTAGGTAAAATTATACAGAAACATGTCATGAGATCCATAAGAGTCATCATTAAAGCCTATACCGGGGTAGCCAAACTTCGGCCCCCAGCTGTTGGAAAACTTCAAATCCCATCATGCACCTGGAAGTCATGCCTGTAGCTGCCAGTCTTGCAATTGCCTTGAGGGACTTCTAGTTCCAGTAACAGCTGGAGGGTTCAAGTTCAGCTACCCCTGAGCTTATTAGTATAGCGGTAGTAGAAGAAATTCGGCTTATACTACTACCAGGCTGCATACTGAATGGAACTCCAGGAATTTCTATGTCTAAACAATCTCCTGAAATCCCACTGCAGCCTCCGAGGAACAACCATCACCCCCTCTCTATGTGAAAAAAACAGATTCTGGATTCCAAATGGCTCCAACTGTTCCTACAGACTTTAATTGGCTGCCTGCCACAAAGTCGCTACCTAGCCATGGAATGTTTGTTCTGCAAATCTACCAATGCACAAGAGGTGAACATGAGCCCAAGGAGAGTGGAAGAAAGGCATTGTAGGGGACTGCTGGTCTCGAAGTGTTATAATAAAGCACACAATATTTGCATGCTCCAGTCTATAAATCTTTGCCGAATTCTAAAAAGCCTGCAGGTGCCTGATCACACCTACAGCAGTCTCCCAAATTCCCATGTCACAGCCAACAGGGTTATTCACAAAAGGGTGAAGTGTTTGGAGAAGTGAACAATCTAGGACCACATAGCTGATTGGGAAAAAATCTCCAATTCAGCTCACGTTCCAGTACAGCTACGTTCCCCTAGATTGTTCACTTCTCCAAACCCTTCACACTTTTGTGAATAACCCTGTAAGTGTCAGGATGTAGTGAAAGGCAAAGCTTCCCTGGTGTCAGACTTGTTGCTGACACACATTCTTATAGGCTCTATGATGGGCAACCTCAGAGGCCAACGGCAATGTGCAGGAGGTATGAAGAGGAAGACAATGCCAAAGTTATGCCTGTGATGGAGGTCTGGTATTCAGCTGTGACAGGAGGGTGTGAAGGATGCTGCAGATGGAGTGCAGACACCTCTGGGTACCCGCACTTTATCACAGTAGTTTTCTCTCCCTCAACAGTCTCTTTGCATGTCCTCTCTATTTATAGACCTGAAGCAATCAAGGATCTGCAATGAGGTTCTCTACATACTCTGCAATGTACACCGAATCTGAACTAAAACTTTCACATTACATGTGTTCTTCATACCAAGCATCAACTTTCTGTCCCTTCAGACCTGTTCATAAAAGTTATGAAATTCCATATTAGAAAGAAAAGAGAATGTGCCAAAGATTAACAAAACCTCAAAAGGTAAAGATTTTGATAATGCAGTTCTATGCAAAGTCAGATGAATCAAATACCTTCAATTCCTCCACGTTGGATAAGTTGTTGTTTAGCATCCTGTCCTTCAGAAGGGTTATCGGGTCACTCTTACTTCTCACCTCCTGAATTTCTTCTCTTGTGCGGTAACTGGAAACAAAAATAAAACTCATTTTCACATTCAAAAATATAACTTAAAGTGGTCCCATCATTAAAAAAATTATACTCTATGAGTTCACATTAAAGTGGATATACGTCTTCTCTAAAGCCCCAACTTTGTGTGGAAGGGTTAGAACCCAGAGATATATATATATATATACACATATACACATATACATAATACATACACACACAGTATTTCTATCAGGGGTGGGCAACTTTGGAACTTCAGCTTCAGTGACACCACAAATCCCATCCAATTAAATGTTGTAGAATTGTTGTTGAGCAATGACTACATACGGAACTATTGCTTAGCCTACTGATCTTTATATCTTGTATTATAGGGAGGATAGGTCAGAACCTGTGTCAGGGTTTTATAGCCGCCTGTATCCCCACTGTGTATAAATTAGGGATGCACCGATATATCGGCCGCCGAAACATATCGTCCGAAAATGGCACTTTTGGCTAAATGCCAAAAGTGCCATTTTCCTGCCGATACATCAGGGTATCCATGCTTTCTCTCCTCCCTGCTCGGCGCTGCCCTGTGTCCCAGTGGGGAGGAGAGAAAGCTATGCGGGAGGAGAGCGCTGTGAGCGGCCGATGTCTCTCCTCCCACACCGCTCAGCTTCCTATCACAGTCCGGCAGAGCGGTGTGGGGGCGGAGACAGCGCTGTCACAGGAGGCTGAGCTCTCCTCTCGCACCGCTCACTCAGCCTCATGTGACAGCGTGTCAGAGAGGAGAGCCAATGCAAACACTCAGCGATCAGTGACCCCTGAGTGTTTGTAAATAATTGAGGACATGGTATGGTTAATATAGCCTCAATTATGAATGAATGGGAGTGATCTACATCCCCTCCTGTTCATTCATGATTGTAGTTATACTAAACATAATCTGTTCTCATGTTATCAATGAACCGGAACACTCAGAGGATTCCTGTGCATTGATAACAGGGGATATAGAAAAAGGACTCTGTGTCCTCAATCTCTTTTTCTACTTTAAAAAGGGAAATATCAGGAGTCTGTTTCGACCCCTAATATTTCCCCGGAGCCCCTAAAAGTAAAAAAATAAAAGATATATTATAAAAAAATAAAAAAAAAAGTTTATTAAAAAAAAACATTAAATATTTTAAAAATTAAAATAAAAAACATTATCGGTTTTCGGGCTGACACTGTTTTTTATTTCAGTTTTGAAATTTCCATTTCGGTGCACCTCTAGTATAAATATTGCAAGTGCTGACGGTGCAATAGAAGTCCTGTATAATAATAATACCCTTACGTCCTGTGCAACTGACCACTGTCTGTGGGACAGGATGGGTTACAAATCGCCCGGTAAGGAGAAATGGCAATACAAAAATGACAGATCCTGATACTTCCTCACTCAATCTAAAGCTAAAAAGAAAACATTTTGGCTGAACTCCCACTGGAAGGCCACAGTGTTTATTTCTGTCAATCATTCGAGCAAAGCGATATGTCTGCACAGAGATGCTGCCCACAGATAGCCAGAGCTTGTAAAGGTTATCTGCGGGCAGATTTGCTGACAATCTAATGTCCTGGGAAGCTGCAGACATCAGCCAACTGATGTATTTGTATTGTGTCTGATCTGTTTACCAATCTGCTCCGGTAGATGCCAAACACACTGTCTGGTTCTCAGCCACTAGAAGGAGAATATACACACCTGATATATACAAATGAAATGTAAGTAGGAGAATGTGGAAACATAAGCTGGCAACACAAGTCAGATGCACAGCAATTTTCACAGAAATGACACTCTAGCGTACCTCCCAGACAGTAGGGGGCAGTGGTTGGTTGAACAACTATTCACAATACTACGGTCACACAAGTCATGTGACTCAGCGCTGTCACTAAGCTCTTACTAAATGCTGCAACATTGCTTCCACTGAGAACCTTGATGCTCCTTTTTCCCGGGCACACGCATTTACCTAACTCCAGGGTCGCTCATACTATGTCCATGGTAACGATAAGTCTGCAGCTCCATCAAAATAGGCCCCTGCAAAAAATAATTTCATGCATTATACTACAACTGTTTACATCTGTATACACACTGAACAATCACATGCTCACTTTACCTATTCCTTTATAATCTAGACATATTAGATGAGCAGCCACACATTTATTCATAAGGAAATACATATACCATACCTTCCCGGATCTGCAATGATCAGCAGCAAACTTGGTAGCTTCTCTGACACAAAGCACGTCCATACCATCAACCTGCCGAAATAGGAACGTCACCATCTCTTACTGGTTCTAAGAATTAAGCAAACTTTAGACGTGTAAAGAAAATTCATTTTAAAGTATGCGTGGCCAATGTATTCTGTTGCCTTGGTTATTGGCATTATAACAGGAGCCAATCCATAAAGGTTAACAGCCAGGAGACCTCTACTGTCACTGACAACATAAGAAGGACAAGTGTGATGTGTTTCAGGACATACTGGTAACTTGGTATTAGTCCAACCCAGTTACAGAAAACCAATCAGAATCCAGAAGGATAATGGTTCACTGACTTAGAACAGGAACCTGGGCACCCCCCATTGAATCAGTGCTCACCCTGAGGCCCGGGATATAGTCTCCACGCTTGTAGTAGTCTGTGCTGGCTGCAGCTCTTTCTACAGACGTCCCCATGCCATATCTGTTATTTTCACAGATGAAGATACAAGGCAACTTCCAAAGAGCTGCCATGTTGTAGGTCTCAAATATCTGACCCTGTTAGAAGAAATAGAAAAACAGCCATCTGTACCAACAATATACATGAACACTTTCTGGATTAGCAGACTGTAGCAGCACACTGACATTTATATTAAAGCAGGAAAGTAGATCATCAATGACAGATTACACCACACCATTGCCAATTCAGTGCCAGCCTGTGCCACCCCTTCATTACCAGGCCAGTTTTCAGTGCTGTGATAGTTTGACAATTACTCTGTCACCCAACACTGTACCCAAATACATTGCATATATAGTTATTAAGACAAATAGAGCTTTGTGTAGGTGGTATTTCATAACCTCTGTTTTATTTTTTATTTTTTTACTACTTAAAAAGGGAAAAAAAAAAGGAACAATAATTTGGGTTCGCTTACATTTGCTTTCAGTTCTAACCTTTAAAAAAAATCCCACAATCCTTGGTGACCAATGGCACTTTAATCCCTCCCCCAACCCCCCTTTGAAGGGGTGTCCCAACTCTGACTGGCTCTGCATTATGTATAGTAAAGGGAAGGGGTGTCCCTACTCTATGACTGGCTCTGCATTATGTATAGTAAAGGGAAGGGGTGTCCCAACTCTATGCCTGGCTCTGCATTATGTATAGTAAAGGGAAGGGGTGTCCCTACTCTATGACTGGCTCTGCATTATGTATAGTAAAGGGAAGGGGTGTCCCAACTCTATGACTGGCTCTGCATTATGTATAGTAAAGGGGAGGGGTGTCCCAACTCTATGCCTGGCTCTGGATTATGTATAGTAAAGGGGAGGGGTGTCCCCACTCTATGCCTGGCTCTGCATTATGTATAGTAAAGGGAAGGGGTGTCCCTACTCTATGCCTGGCTCTGCATTATGTATAGTAAAGGGAAGGGGTGTCCCTACTCTATGACTGGCTCTGCATTATGTATAGTAAAGGGAAGGGGTGTCCCAACTCTATGACTGGCTCTGCATTATGTATAGTAAAAGGGAAGGGGTGTCCCAACTCTATGACTGGCTCTGCATTATGTATAGTAAAGGGAAGGGGTGTCCCAACTCTATGACTGGCTCTGCATTATGTATAGTAAAGGGAAGGGGTGTCCCTACTCTATGACTCACTCTGCATTGTTTGTGGTCTATCTGACAGCATGGCTTTACAATAAGTGAAGGAAAGTTGCTCATTAAGTCTGGAGCGCTTCGCCTGCTTACCACAAAGGGTCAATGGAGAATATTCATATGTACCATTTTGAATATATCCGATTACAACCCAATATGTCTTAGAATAACATTCTATATGAAAAGCCAATACGTATTCCCTTCTAATGAGAATGCTATTGCATCATACAATACATCGTATAAAACACCAGTACCTACCTGATTAGCAGCTCCATCTCCATATAAAGACAAACAGATTTCATTGTTTCCAAAATATTTACAGGCCAACGCTATTCCTGCTCCAAGAGGGACCTGAAAAGTAAACATGAGCTGACTTATACTATAAAAAAATAAACAGGGGGTATGTACTATAATCTTAGGAATTTACAAAAATACATGCACTGTAGTTCTCCAACGATGGTGATTCAAGATGTCTGCCTCAAGCCTTTGGCCAATCATGAGGGAAAGTCTAGCAGTGCTGCCATTACTAATGAGCAATAATAAGAAACATACCTGAGCTCCCACAATGCCGTTCCCTCCATAGAAGTTCTTGGCATACATGTGCATTGAACCGCCTTTTCCCTTGGCACAACCCCCTCTTCTTCCTGTCACAGGAAAGAGAGCAGAGAGATGACCTCATCAGTTTACTGTTGCTCTTTTACTGGAAGGTCAGCAGGTAGGAGGTGAAAAGAGGACACCACTGTATTCCTTGACCTGTCTGCAGTGCGTGAGCAGGCTGTATAAATCTCAAGACTGGATGGAAATAAATACAAATGCTTTGGTAGGCTAAACAGAATGAATATTATATCTGTGCATTTGGCTATTTGCCGGGAGTTCAGCTTTAGGTACACTGTGTAAATCAAATGGTATAAAATCCAATGAAACCCATATTCATCACAGGATGTATACAAATACAGAAGACCTCCGTAAAGCAGTGAAGCTGTTGACATCTATATACCAGTAAGGCTCTTCTATACATACCTGTGAGCTCGGCCAGGATTTCTTTCACAGACACCCCGCGAGTATAGGTATATCCGTGAGCGCGATAGGCTGTGATTAAGTGATCTGAGAGATTAATGGACGCCTCCAGGCCAACACAACACGCTTCCTGGAGAGAGAAGATTTGTATGCTCACAAAAGAAGAATATCCTTAAAGTGTATTTTGACTTTTTGCACCAAATTAGGATAACACTTACTTTGTCTGTAATCTGTTCACATTCAGCTCGCTCCCGTGATGGACTACAATCGCAATTTACATTAATAAAATAATAATAATGGAGATTGTAGTCCATCACAGGAGTGAGCTTGGAGTGGTGGCTACTTTACAACACACGCAGGGACCATGGAGAACAGAAGTAGCCACCCTCCATAAGGAAGGACAGTGTCAGCACTAATTCAGAGATGATTTGAGGATATACAGCCGAGTGATACACAAATAAGATACATTGTTGTTAATAGTAAATTACATTAAACCCTCAGATTTTTTAACATAAACCAATACTGTAATGTACGCCTTACTGTAAGCCATGGTAGTTTCCCTTCTCTTTGCTGCTCTTCCTTTTAAATCCTCATGTCTTCTCATGCTTGGGGAGAACTTCCCTTTGCAGCTGAGTGCCTCTTCCTGTAGTGCTGGCTCAGGTTGCAAACCTT